TAGTCGTGGTTATCTTATAACTGACAACAAGATATGAACAGCATAAGATTGCTGGTGATAGATAGCTGTTCATTCTTGCCGTTCATCTTTGACGAGAAGATGAACGACGCTTCCAGTGCTTTGCGAGCAACAATTTTACTTTCGTACGCCAAAATCGTGCACGTAAGGCCCCAAGCAGACTTCACGCGATTTGATCGTCGCGACTGAATCGCGAGGAGACAACTGTTACAACATCATTCCATGCAGATCAACTTGCATTCGGTTGTGATACTTTTCCAGACCGAAATTTTTGAATGTGAAATGAAAATGAATGGAAATCTTGGCGATTTGGTCGCGACGATTAAGTCGCGTGAAGTCTGACCGGGGCCTAACGCAAAAATCGTTACCGTCATGATCTGCTCTATGTTTTCCGAGTGCGCTCATCGTGCGCGTTAACGCGGATGCTGAGTAAACGCCCCGTCTCTCCGATATAGGTTGCATGACAATCCAGACGTTCGAGTTCGTAGACTACGCCAAACTTGGCATAATCCCCTACTGTGCCATTAGGACATACAACGCAGTTCTGTGTGATACAAGCCGTATCATATAGACGATTACGTACTAGCTGTCGTTTGATGTCGTTTGCAGGAATGTTTACGAGTACATGGTTCAGCTCTGCTTGTATGATAAACGTTTGAACCGTTTGTGACCGTGTCAGAGATGAATAGTAAGCTCAAGGGAATCATGGCTCTAGTTTGGTCATGTTGTTTACCATTAGGTGTTCTTTCCGAATGTCTGGATCTTGCTGGAAAGTAGCCGTTGTTTTCTGCAACCTTCCTTGCGGCCTGAGAGATTCTTGTTTTTCTTCTGGCGTGTAGAATGATATTTTTGGAATGCTCCTTACGATATCATTTCACGCGGACGTTGCCATCTGATAACATCAGCTGTTTGTTAAGGTGCGGTAACCAGCCCGTTTCGGGGTTTCTCTCTGGTGAACTTTATGTGTTGCGATTGCTCGTTCAATACGCGAAAACACTCGTCCATTTCGGACTGTGTTGATGTTACGATAAGACAGTCATCAACATATCGACAATATATAATTGGACATCTGGATAGCACCGATCTCTCTATCCTGCTCATGAAACAGATAGCTAGAACAGGTGCTAACCTTTGTCCCATTGCCAGCCCTATCAACTGCGAATAGTAGACTCTCGACCACTTGAAGATGTTACAGGTGAGACATTCCTTGATAAGAGTCATAATACGCGCTTTGCTGAGACCATACATCGATATGGAAGAGCCATAAACATCAATCATCTCAGAAAGCGCTTGAAGAGCATCACTGTTTAACACGTTCGTGTAGAGTGATGTTACATCAAATGACTCCATTGCGTAGCTATGATGGAATTTAGCTTGACGTAATCGCTCAAGGAGATGTCCAGTGTCGGGCAACTGAGACGAGACTTTGCACAGGAGTTGGGCGACAATTTTGTTCAGGAACCATGAGATCCTATCGGTTGGACCGTTCACACAGCTGATGATTGGAAATCTTGAACGTAATGGCAGATATAGGCTTCAGATTGTTTGGAGCTTATGCGTTTTCAGCAGATCTTGAAGCACGGGACAACAAGAATTGTCACTTGATGAACAAACTTGTGTGGCAAAACATCGCAGAAGGTAGTACTACTACAATGCCCAGGTTTTACGAACAGAGAACATATGAAATTCTACAATAAGTACCGCCATGAGTGTTCTTCTTAGTAAGCGAAGTCTTGTCACTTCTACCAGACTATCTTTCAGGCCTCCGAGGAAGGCATTACTGCCGAAAGTCAGGCTGAATAAATAATACTTATAACAAACTTGTGTGACAAAACATCGCAGAAGATAGTACTACTACAATGCCCAGGTTTTACGAACATAGAACATATGATAACTTTTCATTTAGGTTCAAATTAACTAATTTATTAACTAACGAATAACAACTATATAACTGTACAGTACATACACACAACCCTTCACACGTAAACAGTGATTTTCTTTGCATTAGGTGTCCCGCAAAGAAATGATAGCCTGTAGAAAGAGAGGAAAGCTGCACAGGATGGTACCTGTATACCGTTTGATGTTTTAAAAAGTTAGAATAGGCCAAAAAATCTAGTCACCCTAGAAAATTTGAAAAACATATTGAAAGATACAAACAACTGCGTCAGACTTTTCTATATGACGATTAAGAATGCTAAAAAACTACTCAAAAATCATTCTTGTTTCCAATAATTTCTCAAAATCATAATTTTCCAAATAATTTTTGAATATTACAAGCTTTGCTCAGCATGTTGGATTTTATGTAACTACAGTTGTTGCAATTTTTAACGGGCTTGCCTCTAGTTACCAAATTTTGAAATTCTGCTTTTTCCTATATTTATCTCTGCAATCAGAGCTTAGTAGACAGTAAGCAATGTCATTGTGTGATTTATCGTTTATGAATAATATTAAGCACACAAGCAATAACATAGTGAAAGAAAGACATTACGTTTTTGAGAATGGTGCCACAAAACTTTTGCACCAACCTATTATCTCCGGTTAATGAGAAGTTTTTTCCTTCTTTGAACTAGATCACAAACCCCGTAGAGTACAACAAACATATACTTGCAGTATTCTGTAAAATTCTTACTTTTTTTTGAAGTAGCTATTTTCATGTGAAACTTTTTGAAATGATTACGGACGCTTACAATCCTTTGACCATGTCTAAGTTTCGCTGATTTTTAAAACTTTTATTTAAGACGTTTGAAGGTGCTTCGATAGCCTGGCGATGGGGCAGATCTTTTGCAAATTGATGCAATTTTTTGTATCTTTCTAATGTTTTTTGAAATTACTAAAATATAGCTTACGAAGTGGCCAACTTTTATATTTGACCTGTCATGATCTTATATACGAAGCTGAAAGTCTGTTTGTATGTCTGTCTGTGTGTACGTATGTTCCGAATAGAAAATTCCATTTCTGAACCGATCCGGACCCTTGGCACACATACACTTCGGGCCCCAGCGGGTGTCATAGGCTACTTTTCGCCATCGATCGATATCGATTTATCGATTTTTTTGTAAATTTTGACATGCGGGGCTGGGAGTTTGCACAGGGGGTAATCGAGCATGCTGATTACGAATACAGTATTAGTTTTTGGATTCATCCATTGCTTTTATCGATTTTATTGATTTTTTCGCAAAGTTTAGCCTAGAGGGCTGGGATTTGGCACAGGAGGGGGGAGGGGGGAATTGAGCATGCTGATTACGAATAGAGTATTAGTTTTTCGATTGATCTATTACTTTTATCGATTTTTGTAAAGTTTGACCTACGGGGCTGGGAGTTTGCACAGGGGGGGGGGGTAATCGAGCATGCTGATTACGAATACAATATTAGTTTTTAAAGTTATCCACTACTTTTAACGATTTTATCGATTTTTTTGCAAAGTTTGAGCTACGGGGCTGGGAGTTCGCACAAGGGGGGGTAATCGAGCATGCTGATTACGAATACAATATTAGTTTTTGAAGTTATCCACTACTTTTAACGATTTTATCGATTTTTTTGCAACGTTTGAGCTACGGGGTCGGGAGTCGACAAGGGGGGGGGGATAAGTGGACACGCTGATTTCGACAATACGGGGATAGGATTGGCATGTAGGAGTGGGAAGGAAAGATTGCACAGGGACAGGGATGGGATTTTTATCGTTTTGACAGGGCCGGGCGAAGCCGGGTATGCCAGCTAGTATTTATGTAAGATTGGTGTAAAAGTTCATTCGCACCGTTTTTGGAAAATCATTACTTTATACTTCCCCGACGACTTGCACAGACTTACTTCTGTTAGACAGAGGAATCTTTGGTTTTCGTAGAAATGCATTTGCTGGCCCCTGAGAAGTGTGAGCTTATACGAGAAAAGGAGGGAGTAAAACCACTTTAGATTCGACCATTTTATCTAAGACGCCAACATTTCAAAACTCGCGAAAAAATTTGGAACACGTTATGTCAACTTATCGCAGTTTTATCGCAGGTATCGCAACTTCGGCATTATTTGAAATGGTAGAATTTGGGCGGTTTTATTCTCCTCCTCCTCTCGTGGAAGCTCACACTTTTCAGAGGCCAGCAAGATTCTAAGGGTGCCTTCGTACCGCGCCGGCAGCCGCCGCTAGCAGCCCGTAGTAGCCCGTAGCCGCCGCTGGCAGCTTTTGTCATAGAAGCGCGAAATCATCAAATTCTTACTACTCTAGATGCAAACGCCCACGCTTTCCATTTTCCACGCTTTCTCCTTTTTGTTGTCGCAACCCGATTTCATATATCACACTTATGTCCACTGCTGTTAAAATCTTGTTGCCGTAGACTGTTTATCCTATTGGTACTCAGTTTCCCTCTCGCATGAACCATATTTCGCCAAAGTTTCTTCGCAGTTAATTTTCAAGTTTGATTCTGTTTCAATCATATCCTTGGGCGGGGGTTATTCTGAATAACTCTGTAATGTGTGAGTATGGAATTGCACATTAGCGGTAATAGGAAGAAAGAAGCGTAGAAGATGGAAAGCGTGGGCGGGAGCAGTCAAAGCAGTGAGAATTTGGTAATTTTGCGCTTCTATGACACAGCCAGCGGCAGCTACGGGCTGCTACGTGCCTACGGGCTGCTAGCGACGGCTGCCGGCGCGGTATGAAGGCATCCTTACCCACAAATCATAACTCGTCACAGAGATGCTGTATAACACAAACTCAGTTGAAAAAAGTAGATTAGAAGACTCGTGTCAATGGTTATTCCAAATTTTATAGCAGGTTTTTGGCGACTTAACCCAAAATGGTCGAATTTGAAGGAATCTAATCCCCTGTTATCTCTCAAAAACTCACACTAGTCAGAGAGCAGCAAAGGCACTTTTGGAAAAAGTAGTTTCCTCTGTCTAACAAAACTATTGTGCACATCCAAGACCGAAACAGATACAATAGCAACTGCTTTGTGCTCGACAATAAGCAACGACGATAACAATTTGCAATTTAGGCGTACCAGAATGCAAAAAGGGAAGGGAAAACGGAACCCCGAATCAGCAGCATACCTGATTTTAGTGACAACCAACTGTTCTTTCTATCTTACGCTCAGGCAAGTAATATTCCATCTTAGTTAACATTCGAAAAACCTAACTAAAAAAATCTAAACCAGGCGCTTATCAACTGACATATCTCTTAATCAGGAGATTCTGCAGGGGTAACATTCTGCTAAGTCCTTGAATTAGTTAGTCAAATTTTAGACTCTGGTAACTGCACAAATGTATATTATCATTAGAAACCACGCAAAATGTGTTGACAATTTAAACCGACCGTGTTGAGTTCCCAATAAAGACAAGAAGTCATAAGGTGGTTTCGTACTAGACTGCTACATAAGTTCTGTCCGACTTTTGCCTTGTGTATGAAGCAGCTGTTCTGAGAAGTTTCCATGTTTAATGCGGAGATGTTTCTACCATCACAAAACGTTTTTCTTGGTGCACAATGAATTTCATGAAAAGCTTCAGTCTAACAAGACTGCAGGCGCTAGACCGCGGGCGACTAAAAGGTGGTCTTTACTAAAAGAACACATTATTGTGCAAATTTCTATAACTCTAACGTCAAACTAGGTTCCCTTGATAGCAACCGAAATTGGTGTATGGGCCAACATACGCACTAATTTGCTTTTGCTCACAAATTATCTCGGCTGTAGAACTTGTTGACGAAAATTAACGCTTCAGCTGATGTTTTACAGTTAGTAACATTCTGTGAATAGATGCAATCGATGAAAAAGTTTTACAATTAGTAACATTCTCTGAATAGATGCAATCGATGAAAAAGTTATAAATAAAAGAGTGACTGGAGATAGCAAAGCTCATACACAGTAACTCAGACAGTCGACGGCTTACCTCAGGCGCAAAAATGGCAGGGTCGCGGGCTCTGTCCAGCGAGGTTTGCCACTCGTGCTCCGGAGCCCTCCCAGTCTGTGCTTTGGAGTCCTCCCATTTTGTGCTCCGGAAGTCTGCCGCGGCATACTGTAATTAACCCTAATCAAGCTCCAAACCCTATTTATGTCTCTAAACCGCACCCAAATTAGCTTTAGATCAGGGTCGAGCAAATGGTGTGGCATACGACCGCCGAATACGACCCCCTCCCCCGGGTAAAACTTCAGCGCAACCCTCAACCCCGTTCTCTACTCCCTCCCTCTCACCCCTAATGTTTATAGGTAGAAGATAGAAGAATGAAGAGACAAGACATTTGTTTCAAATTAACTGTAAAGAATCTACTGCAAATTGCAAAACAAAGACAAAATTGTCGTGGCACCACTGCACATCTTCATTATCCAAACAGAATAGATTTCGAAGTCGTTGCACCCTTTGCCACTGTACTCCTGCACGCTCCCCACAGGATATTCGTGCCGGGATCAGAGGTGCGATAGGTGGAGCCGGGCCCCCCAAAAGTGAAGGTGGTTCCAGCTACCACTGACCGGCCAAAAGTGAAGGTGGTAGTGCCGGACACTCACCTCCCAAAAACGTCGACGGGGGGGGGGGGGGTAACGTCGACTGAGCCTATCCTTCCTGGTCGTTGCCGCCAGTGCGCGGAATATAAGCAAAACAAACGCAAAAAAGATCATTGAAGGCATATTTTTAGGAACACGGCGGCATATTTATTTAAAATAAACGTGTTTAGTAAATGGTGTATTTGGAAGTAAAAGATAGCGGGACTGTACGGATTTTATTAAGTAAATTTTGTCATAACGTACTACAAACAAAGTAGGTCGATCCAGGGAATAACCGCCGAGAATCAGAATTTTGAATAATAAAATAGCGATAAATTATGCGAAATTTCCATTTTCATAAATCTTGCGGTTGAAGATGTCAGCAATTGCGACTTCATAGATTTTGAAGGGCAAATGTTGTTCTACCAGATAGTGAAAGAATTAGGTCGATCTGAGCAGTGGCCGCCGAGAACGAGAATTTTGAAAAATTAAGCGATTTTAGGTTACTTAGTGACAGCTGACGTTTAGACTCCTATAAATCTGGAATGTGAAGGGGTGCAATGTTGCGACTTCATAGGTTTTGTAGAGTAAGGATTGCTGTATCGGACCATGTCTTAGCCGTAACGATCCAATAAGATACCGCCGAGATTCAGGCTCTTGAAAAAAACAAGTGAAAAACCGCTTTTTGAAATTCAACAGCGCATAACTTCTCCAGAATTGCATGAATCATGTTGCGACTTCATAGGTTGGATTCTCCTCATCAAGAGCTTTCAGATGATATATAATATGTGGGGGTTTTGCGCCTCTCACAGCATATGCCCGCGGGTGGAGACTTTTTACCCCAAAGTCTCCACTGGCGGTCTCCGGCCAGTACATTAAATGGGCGAGGTGGAGACTTTGGGGTGAAAAGTCTCCACCCTGGGTTAGAGCCGCATAAATCATTGAACCTCCCACATATTATATATCATCTGAAAGCTCTTGATGAAATCCAACCTATGAAGTCGCAACATGATTCATGCAATTCTGGAGAAGTTATGCGCTGTTGAATTTCAAAAAGCGGTTTTTCACTTGTTTTTTTCAAGAGCCTGAATCTCGGCGGTATCTTATTGGATCGTTACGGCTAAGACATGGTCCGATACAGCAATCCTTACTCTACAAAACCTATGAAGTCGCAACATTGCACTCCTTCACATTCCAGATTTATAGGAGTCTAAACGTCAGCTGTTACTAAGTAACCTAAAATCGCTTAATTTTTCAAAATTCTCGTTCTCGGCGGCCACTGCTCAGATCGACCTAATTCTTTGACTGTCTGGTAGAACAACACTTGCCCTTCAAAACCTATGAAGTCGCAATCGCTGACATCTTCAACCAGCTGATTTATAACAATGGAATCATCGCATGATTTTTCATTATTTTATCATTCGAAATTCTGGTTCTCGGCGGTTATTTCCTGGATCGACTTACTACATAGATATATGCTCCCAATACTTTCTTTTACCTTCCTTTTGCTTATTTTCCTTCTTTTGAGCTTCAACAAAAAATTTTTTCAAACCCAAAAGTGAAGGTGGTCACCCCGTACCAGCTCAAAAGTGAAGGTAGGCGGAGACTCGGCTCCGACTATCGCACCTCTGGCCGGGATTACATTTAATTCACCGTCGAAGCCGCGTCAATCGCCTCGTTTGCGGTTGGAAACTGCGTATGAGTAATTGTTGCCAAGGGTGACCCTGTGGTTTGCTCGACAATGTACTGATATCTGACATCAAGTATTTGGAAGAAGAGAAAATACGCACTCCGACCACACTTTGCATTTCCTCGTAACTACCAGAAGCTCAGCTAACTGCTAGAGAACACTTTCACCCTTCTTTTCCCATCAGATGTAAGACAGATTAGTCGAGCGTTTCGATACCCATTCAAGTGGTGATCCCGAAGAAAAAAAAACAGCTTTATTCTGTTTATTATGGATGTAAAGTATCTTTTGAAAACTGGTGCTGGTAAAAGCCAAGAGCGAATGTCACAGAATGTTCGGAGTCTTGCCCTTCTTAATGAGCTGCTGAGTTGCATAACATCAACTTAGTAGGTGTTGAAAGCTATATTTTACTGCGGAAACTGGTATAGTTTACCCATTATCTTAACCACGGAAGAGCGAAGGCATAAATTTGAATCTCACTGTACTGTGGGTAGCTTTGCGAAATCAAGATAGTGTGAACACTGCACTAAGTATTGCTGATGTCTGTTCATACATCGACACTGACATGCCAAAGTACACTCCAACCTGACAGCTTCAGGAAGTGTATGCATTCGTATCAAAGCAAAAGTAACTGTTTGTAACATGCGTAAACAAGAAGACTTGGACAACACGACTGTTCTCATGGGTTCTAACGATGGTCTAGGCTAAAGTGCACATCAAGCACTATTTTTCTGGATTAGTTTGCCCTTGTTTCGCGCAAGCAAGTATTGCAAAAGACTAAAGCGCATAAAGCTTGTAACCACAATAATCAGACGATCATAGCACTGCCTCAGCATTTAAAGCATAGCTTCAACGCAGCTGGTCACGTTCATTTTTGAAGCGGGCACGATGTCGTCCCGGCACGAATATTCAGTGGTTAGCATGCAGAAATCTGTGGCAGAAGGTGCAACGACTGCAAAATCTGTTCTGTATTATCTAAGTATGAACTTGATCAAATGCTAGTATCTTGACTCCGATGCACTTAGACACAAGTCACTGAATGGACAAAAGCCAAACAAAACTCCCGGCGATCTGCACAACAGACACAACATACTTTGTTTGAGTGCATGGTAGACATTCAGTAGCGTAAGATGATCACTATCAACGTGCGCAAATCGTGCCTTCGCTTCATCCATTTCATTTGGTCGGCCAAATCCCTAAGGAACTGCCACCTAATTAGTCCGCATTATTCTGGTTCACTACCTTGCTTACCGGATAACATAGTAGGTATCGACAATATCTCATTGGAACAATTCAACTCTGTTGACGTAATTAGCATTTTCGCTTCAAACATTGCAGATTGAATTCTAGCATTTGAGTCCAGGAAAGACCTCACCCATCTACGGATCTAGAGGGGATTTCACCATCAGAAAAACCAACTCTGTCAGTTTACCATCATCGTTTATAGCGGCGAGATAATTGAGTAGTTCTAGAGCTCTCATAAGGGTTTCTAGAGCTGAAGTCTGAGCATAAAGTCAAAATGTACGAGATTTCCAATGCGTAGCTTCTTGAGCTGCAAAACCACCAATCCTAGATTTGAAATGGAATACGATAAGTAAAGAGAAACAAATGTACGATTGAGAGGAGTCACCGAAGTATCTCCAGGTACGTCTGCTCCTGCATCTCTTTCCTATAAGCTTTCTCCGTATATAACCGCAAACACTTTCCTAAAATGCAAAGTTTCCCAATGTGAGAACGATTAGAAAAAGCTAACCGGGCTTAGTACGACCAGCGCGACCAGCATGTTGCATAGCACTAGCTTTAGATTTCGGACATACTAATAGTTACTCTACACGAATTCTCGGATTATAAACCTTTTGTTTCGAAAATCCAGTATCTATCACAAAACCACTCCATCAATAATCACTGATGTCTCAGCAGTCGAAAAGAGCCAAACACTAAAAGTGACTGAGCGCATCCGCACGAAAACCTAAAACCTGAAATCTGAAAAGAAGGAACTAAACGAATAAACGCCAACGCACCGACGAGCAACACGAAACACCAAAAAAAAAAAGAAAAACGAGCGCGAAAGAACGTCAAAAAAATGTAAGTCAAAAGCGACGGCAGCTTATTTTCGAAAATGCTAAGCTGCGTATCACGAATAATTGGCTGCGTACCTATTGTGCTCCGGAGGTGTCCCAGATCTGGCGTACCTCCGGAGCAGAGATTTGCGACCCCGCGGGAGAGGTTCCATCCGCCTTCGCCCCTTCGCCCCGCCTCCTCAATGGTTAAGAAGGCCCTCCGCAGCTCTGCCAGATTTCGACGGTTCTCCGGAGCTGCGGCACCTATAGTCTAAAAAGATTTCAACGCTCGATTGCTAAATATTATAAAATTCAAAAAGCCGTAAATGCGTGCACAAAAGCGAGGCAAAAAGTCGGCCTTTCTTCACTTCAAAATATTCAACATGTCTTAAAAATTGAACGGAATTTTTTGGTCGTAATATAGTCTTCAACTTTCTAGCTATTCATTGATGACTACTAAATATGTTTGTCGTATAGGGGAGCAGCACCATGTCGACGGAGTTCAAAAAAATCGCAAATTTTCTGCAATTCTGGCTCTTATACAGTAACGATTTTCATTCATTTGTGTATGGTTCGCACTCGCGAGGTGTGGTTCATGAATAAAGTAGCGGCTTCCCTCTTTGCATCACTCTTTCCACACTTCGCATCAAACTCTGTACATTTTCGCCGATTAACTGCTGATACTCTACAAAGACGCAGATATTCGCCCCTTTTTTGGCTAATGACTTTGTAAATCAAAAGTCACGTTTCTTCAGTTCACACAGAACACCGGTACATCTCATATAAACACTGTTATTTGATATTTAAATGGTAATAATCGAGCCACTTGGATAAAGAACAACAATATAAGTTCAGACCTTTGGTCGTATACACATACTTCGGCGAGACTGGTGATCTGCTGTTCTCCTTTTCCTTCTTTTCATTTTTTGAATTGGCATTTCTGTGATGAGCTTCCATGTCCAGCTTACTCTATTCAGCTGGCCACATGTTTCTGCGGTTAAAAATTATCATTTTTTGGAAACTCATTCTCTTTGCAAACCGAGACGAAAGCACAGAACTCGAGATTCAAATAGAGTAACTGCTAACAATCTCTAAAATGCTTCAACGCAGAACATTTTACCCAGCCATCAAAAGTTTGATCTGTATCCATAATCTCATATACAATGACCGCCGAAGTTGCGAACAAGCCGCCCTCTTATTTTCATCGCACATTTTCGGATGGAAAATAAAGATGAAAAAGTGATTGGATTACATATTGTGATAAAGCTCATCAAGAACTACAATCGACACGTTGTACTTTCTGGAAAACAGGTGTTATAAAAATTTCAAAAATCTTTTCCTAATAAAAGTCTGAGAATGGCCGCGTCACAATGTCGCGGACTATAATTCTTCGAACGCAAAAATTTTCCTTTAGGTCTTTAATTGGAGCAAATACAGAAGTTTTCTGACGCCTATTGCGCCTATTATATTATAGAGCTTTGAAAGAATTAGGTAGTGGTTACTCTTGAAAAAATCTAAGTTTAAATTTTATTTTGCTTTTCTTCAAAAAATAACTTCCAATTACCTTTTCACGCCGAACATCTTCACATGGAAACCTATTCAAGACAACTCAACAGCTGTTTGGATAAAATGGATGCTTTTTGCCATCCTCTATGCATCGGGCGTGTACTGGTGAGTTTCTTTTGCTGAAAATAGCTCTTCACAGTGCGTTTACATGGCCCATCTGCACCTCACCACTAACTTGCACCGCTTTGCAGGCATGTAGGCCAGCAGTCACTCTACGAGCCTGCAAGTTAGCTTATAAAAGAGAGTGACTTTCTCGATACGATGGTATGCAAACAATTTCAGTTTGAACAATCTCTGAGATTTTACGGATGGGGTGAAAGAGCGCAGCCTCAAAGGTTATTGGAGTGAAAGCTCTTATCAACATTAGGACAGTCTTAGAGCATCGAAATGGATCCATTACAAGAAAAATGACAGTTTCAATTCTTTAGGATTGAACTGGTAGCGGAAGGAGCTCTGTTCAACCTTAGCTGAAAAATCCTAATCCTATCACTGGAGCTGCGCTTTTTCACTTCCATCCGTAAGAACCTCCGGGAATTCTCAAACCAGCTCATTATACCATCGTGTCAAGGACGTCACTCTCTTTCGAGGAGTCTACGCACAGACGTAGATTGGTTGCCGGTCGAGCTACATGCCTGCAAAGCTGTGTAAGTCAGTGGTGAGGTGCAGGCCGGGTCATGTGCACGCACTGTCAAGAGCCATTTTCAGCAAAAAACTCACCAGCACACGTCCGATGCATAGAGAATGGCAAGAAGCACATAGTAAAGGCTATTGCATGACGAAGGCGCAGAAGTACTATGAGTGGAGCGGGCGCGAACGCGACGCGCGCGTATCCTCGCCGTTGTAAATTCTGCGCCTCATGCGTGTGCGGCTAATAAAGCCGCGTTCGCGCCCAAAAATACGCGCCTTCGTCATGCAGCAGCCTATATCTGAACAGGATTGTTAGAATGTTTTGAATAGGTCCATGGGAAGAAATTTGGCTTGAAAAAGGTAATTAGAAGTTATTATTTGGAAAAAAGCAAATAAAATTAGTTAAATAAGTTTAGGTTTTATGAAAGTAACCTTCACCTAATATGCCCATCTGTCAGAAGACTTCTGTTTTTGCTCCAATCAAAGAACTAAAGGAAAATTTTTGCGTTTGAAGACTTATTGTCCGCGACATTGTAACGGGGTCACTTTCGGACTTTTTTTAGGAAAAGATTTTTGAAAATTCTAAAATACACATTTTCTGGAAAGCGCAATGTTGGTTGTAGTTCTTGAGAAGCTCTATTATCTCATATAGTCCAATCATTTTTTCATTTTTGTCATCCGAAGATAAGCGATGAAAAAAGGAAGGCGGCTTGTCCGCAACTTTTTGGCGGCCACTGTATAAAGCTGAATGTCTGTCTCTCTGTCTGTCTATGTGTACGTATAGGCTGCTGCTTGACGAATGCGCAAGACCTTTTAGCGCAAATGCGGCTTTACTAGCCGCAGAGCGCATGAGATGCATGGTTTACAACGGTGAAGATACGCGCGCGTCGCGTTCGCGCCTGCTCAACTAATACTGCTTCCGCGCCTTCGTAATGCAGTGGTCTATATGCTCCGAATAGAAAATTCTATTTTTAAAATGATCCCGACCAAACTTTGCCCACATACGCATCGGCTCGGGGCAGGTTTCGTAGGTCACTTTTCGTCATCGATCGATATCAGTTTTATAGATTTTATCGATTTTTTGTAAAGTTTGGCCTGCGGGGCTGGGAGTTGGCACAGGGAGGTAATCGAGCATGTTGATTACGAATACAATATAAGCTCTCAAAATTATCCTTTACTTTCATTGATTTTATCGATTTTTTGCAAAGTTTGAGCTATGGATTGCAAATTGGCACGGAAGGGTAAGTGAGCATGCTGATAACTAACACACCGGGAATAGGTGATTTGCATAGAAGTCGGCACAGGGAAAGGTTGTGCAGGCACAAGGATAAGATCTTTATCATAGTGTTCTGACAGGGCCGAGCGGAGCCGGGTAAGCCAGCTAGTTACTACAACGCTTTGAAACCTTTTTTATATTCAAAAGCATTTTTTTCACGAATATAAGGTTGTATCCTCACCTCCCAGCCAAAGAGGGTGAAGCATTGCAAACATCGATGATCTTCCCTATATCACAACATTGGTGTTTCTGTGTAAAACAGTGTTGTCCGACAAGAGAAAGATGTCTAGTCAAAGCCTTTCAGAATGTGCTGTAAACCACTTTAACGGGCGCGAGACGCCAATTTTAAATCTTTCAAGTCTGCAGAGCGTTTTAGGGCGAAGAGTTATGATTGTTTGATAATGAAGCTGTGATAATTGTAAGGCGCTTTATGCAATGGATACTCTAAGTTCTTCATCTTTGTTTTATTTGAGGTAGTAAAAGTTTAACAAGTAGATCCCTCCTGTTGCTCATTCATTTTTTAAAAACTTTTTGAAAATTTTTTTAAAACCCTAAACCTCATTCTTTACCCAGAAAGCTACGCAGATTAAGAAGGCAGATTTGTAACCAGCGTTTTTTCTTTCCAAGACGGTTGACATCTTGTTTTAGAAGGTTACTTCGACTACACATCTTTCCCTTATGAGATTAGATGATGCATAAATCTTGCACCATACATCTACAGTACAAATTACACAATACTTTCATCTGTGATAAATACGGTATTATTGAATATCTAGGGATTATTTCAAATCAGATTAAAAAGGCAAATAAATCGTTTGAATAGAATAGCATTCGTTGCCTTGGAAAACTATCCGATCAATTTGTCCTCAAATTTTTCTCATGAAAAATTGCTCAAAACTCTTCATAAAAAGGTGTTCAATAGGTGAGAGAGACGGATTTGTTGTCATTTTACGTTGTGTCTATACATTAATGCTAAAAATGGCCAATTTGATCAAAGTATATAAAAGTCAATCAAAAATAGCGTTTTAGTATCCTCTGATAAAATGCAGTTTCTCCGCGCGAATCTTACACTCTTTGAAAAATTCCTGTTACAGCATTTTTGCGAACAGAAAGAGAAGAAGAAGGAGCGGGATCAAATGATGATGTTTTCATCGTATGCACCCAAAGAGCTTCGGTAAGCAAGCTGACCGAGATCATTTCAAACTTTGGACACTTCAGTGCATTCACTATGCGTATGTGTGTATCAGATATGGAATTCAGTCACTGCAAAACTTTTTTTGCTCTAAGTTTTTTGTACATTTTTACTGGTAAATTCAAATTAAACTGATTTCATCCTATTTTCCATTTTTTATTCAAGGCGAGCATGGGAATAGCCGCCTTTTGTTAATAATTGACCTTGTCATTGTCATGACTGATAATCTGAAGACATTGTGATAGAATAAGGTAGACCTACGTAATACTCCCTTTTGTTACCAGTACCAGTATTCTCTTAAGCAGAAGTTTTAGGATTTAGGATAAGAGAAAACGATGATCAATCTCGTGCTAGCGCGACTGATTACCAAAAATATTAGGTTGTCCCGAAAGTTTTGTCCGTTTTTTTCATCGCTCACTAAAACTCATAGAACACCATTCCATGGACGACTTAGGTACCATTTGTTTTAGATTTTTATCCTCTTTCTTGCAGCTATCATTGCTCTCTGATCTACCCTATCTTTGCGTTGTTATCTCCATGGATTTTTGAGCAGCCCAGCACTGACGCCCAATTTTCCTTGAATTTTCAAAATTTTTTATCCTGATGTTTTCAAAGAGCGCTGGTAACTGTTATGTAGAGCAAACCTTTGGCTACATTGCACTCATTTTAGGTTACGTTACCACGTTCACCAAGTCAGTTTTATTTATTCAATAGAAACCGCGGCTTTTTGATTACGTTTGCCACGTAAAAGTTCCGAAAATTTCAAAAAGCTGCTTTTTCAAAAGATCAAATTTGGTTATGTTGCATAAATATGTTCAATAAAAATCATGTTTCAATTCGCAGAAACTTCAAAAGCTCTCTTGTCTTTGCTGCAGTTGCGTGTTTCATGATTTTGCCAAAAATCGAGACCTCGAAAGAAATAATTTTTTCAACTAAAAACAGCAGATCAGAAGATCCTAAAAACATTGCCTTGTAGTCCGGAAGCCGCTCTATTTGATCCATGCTTGACTTTTCCGAGCTCTAGGATGAGATTTTCAAAAATTAGCCTAACTTAAAGGAGATGAAATTGACGGGTGGAGAATTTTGGCAATTATAGGAAAGAGCATACGAGATTTTGGTTCGAAAATGTATCCATAAGAAAGAGAAGGAAAAGCTGCATCAAATACACGTTGAAACTTATTCAGGCCTTTATTGTGCATGGAATTATAGTGGTTTGAAAAAAAAGGACAAAATTTTCGGGACAACTTAATATATGGAGGACGATATTCGATAATATAGAGCAAACACTTCATAATGATTGTAACGTAAAAAACAAATTTTAGACCTCAAAAATCAAACCCCATCTAAATGGGTCCAGATAATCTTGCCACGTGGGATCAATACGTGAACTGATTGTGGAGAGTTAACTGTTTAAGCCGCAGCGCAATTAGGTCATCTGAGGACAAAGATTCATCTTTAAACCTGTAATCATTACTATATTTTACGGCTGATCTGTGTCGGTCTGCATGCCTTTGCGGGTAACTGCATGACGACGGTAGTGAGAAGACGTGCTTACCACTGCGAGGCCTAAATGTGTTGCATCTAATATCAGTTACAGCGTTCATTTAGATATAAACTATGCATTATGGCGCTACTGTCGAAAATAAAACTGTGTGAATCCATTCGATCGCATAATTTGCCACTATTGCCAAGTTGGAATGACATATCCGTGATTATCACACCATAGCCCACAATTGGTTTGCACAGATTCGAAATTTTGATTATAGTGTAATCGCACCCCTTGAGATGGCTTTCGCGCAGAGCGACTGTGGTATCAGGCATCAACTAGGCAAATATAAGGCCCTGCCTGATCTTGAATTGTTGAGATTTGACGTCACTGCGTCGCGACGCCTAATTCGACGAAGTTAGATGAAAAACCTGAGTTTGCATTGCATTTTAAGGGCCGGGCATACTTCATGCGATTTCGGTCGCGACGCGATTTGGCAATATTCCAAGTGTCCACAACTCACTGTAAGGGGTTTCTGAATGTACGGAAGACAGGGTATTTTATCAATCTACGTAAGTTATGCACACTACGCATGTGCAGTTTGCTAGTGTGGATTGAAGACTTCTGGCAAATTGCCAAATCGCGTCGCGACTGAAATCGCGTGAAGTATGCCCGGTCCTTTACGCATTTTTTGTTTTCTTGTGGCGAATACGTTATTTCATTGTTTCCAACTCAAAATGAAGCTGGCGGCTACAACGGCCTACCATTCAGCGACGCGTGTCCCCCCCCCCCCCCTCTCATCGTATAATGGTTTTACAGCAGTTTCTCCGCCTTAAAAAATTTGCTACTTGATTTTCCACCTGATCGATGCCGTTGAAGAGCCCTTTGTTCAGCGTTATCGTAGTATTCAAAATCGTTCCGAATGATTTTCCAGGACCGCTGACAATTAGCAGTAGTTTTACGGAGATCGTCTAATTAGATACTGCACATCCAATGTGCGTTAGAATTAGAATTATCAAATTGTTCCGAAATGGCCTCTCTATCAAGGAAGCCATATAATTCTAGCAAAGAGAAGAAAATTTTGACGCTTTACAAATTGAGGGGCAGAGTTTGAACAAAATTAAAAATATTTAATGCTGAGAAAACCAGGACCCTTGTCAGCTGGCCCGACATGTAGGTAATTCAACTGAGTTTTGATATCTCGAAAGTTCAAAATGTCCATTTCTTCAAAAATAAGGTATCCTGTCTATAAAAAATCCTGCAAACCTACCATTTCACCCATATTTCTTCAACAAATCATTCACACATAACTACACTTGATGCATTTTTAATGGCTAGAAATCAAGAAACAATGATGTGCGGATTGCTCTAGTCTGCTAAATTTAGTTATATTACAGCGGTTTTGAATTAGCCGCTGAAAAACGTACCAGGCGTCTTTTCACAACTCATACTATCTCGTTCGTTCTTGATTAGCATCCGCTTTTGACGAAGGAACTTTGAACTCGGAAAAATGTACATGGATGCAAGCGGCATCAGTTTGAAGCAGTTTTCAGCCTGATGTACATAGCGAAACAGCGCTCATTACCTCCTCTCCAAGTTTGAAAGCTTTTTATTACGGGAGCAAGCGAGGTACAAGAATGAGGCGGAATTGAGCAGAATGTACTATGAAAACAGCTGAAGGAAGTCATAAATCTCAAAAGCACATGCGGGCAGCTGCAGCGCATGCACCACAGCTCTGAAACCAGAGTTGAGCAAGAGTTAGGCACATGTCATCTGAAAACGACCCTCCCCCCCCCCTCCTTCCCCCGACAGCACCCAAACAACCCCTTCTCCCTTCTTTATTTCCGCAAACCTCATAATGTGATATTTGGAGTACATCATCCTTTCGTATCGAATTTCTAAATTTTTGAAGGCTGTACGCGATTTTCTGTGACTTCACCCTCACAAGCACACGTAATTTGACGGTTGATCTGATCTGAATTAGTCTGTTGAAATAGCCATATTCTTTCCAGGGTGGGGCGTTTGGCTCCAAATTTTCTTTGTAGCAAGAACAGGCTTTGTGCTCAACACAGCGATTTTTGAATTTTGAAGACAACTTAAAGGGGTACAAGAATACAAAAGCTTAGCCTGACTTTTTGAGAGGTTGTCTTTAACTCCATTAACTTCATCTCCAAGGAAGCTTTTCCACCGTTTTCTGTGATTCGCCAGAACTAACCTCGAAGATTCTGCAATAGGTGTTTGGACTTATCTCGACTTGTTTCGACTTTGTGGTGATCCGTGGAGTTGAAGTACTCAAGGTGAATAACGCGGTGGTTTAAATTTTGGAGCACTTCTTAATCCACTGTTTGAAAGCGATATGACGTCTGATTACTGGCGTAAATATAGAGAGTATTAGTTTGTTATGAGGGTAAAAAGGCAGACTTTTTTAAAGGTTTGAATGAAACCGACTTGAAGGCATTGGCTCGGCAAAATCGAACACCTCGAAATTTTGAAATGCAAGGTTGCTTGCATCCCAGATATCAGAACAGAGCAGGTCCGAGCGCACTACATGCTGCCCCTGCCTAAAAAACTGCCCCTAAACCCGTGCGCGCAAGCCATTCTTACACGAGCTCGAACGAGCTTGCGGTCCTCCTCCCACCGTCAGAGGCGGCATGCCGCAATGCTAAAAACATGAACGTCCCGTAACGACTCTACGTCTTTAACTGTGGCGGGGAGCGATCCACTCGTCCAAATTCAAAACGAAAACCCTTGGAAAATGCTGGTTTTCGACATTTTCGTGCTCTTCAAAGTATATTTTTGAAATCAGCGCGTCGAACTACCCCAGGTAAGCGAAAAAGGTTCAAGTCGAGGATTTGCCGAGCCACTGTCTTTGATCATGTTTGAGGATCACGCTTTTTGAACATTAGGGGACACCAAGAAATGTAATAGGTAACGGCTGATGAAGCTTGTAGAAGCGGTTCAACATCCTAATTATGGAACCCATACCCAATTTTACAGCAAGCTTCTTTGATGACCTTGCGGGGCATGTGTAAGGTAAGAGAGAAAAAATTGAAATCTGGCTGAAACTTCGGCAGTGTAGTTAATCAGTATGCCACTCACGACCGTCATTCCTTCAGTTCAGGTGGAGTTGTGATTTTCACCGGTACCTTTTCTTCTTCCTAACTTTACTCCATCGTAGTACCTTATTTCCAGGTGTACAGGCTGCACCCTTTGCTTGTCTTGTTACAACCCTCCCCCACCCTTCTCTCTTACCCGCTACGACTCCCCCCCTCCCCAGGTCGGGCACGTCTGACCTTACGCTCAACCCTGTCCGCAACAGCGCACAATGCGAAAACTGTGCTGGAACTGTTTTGGAACTTGCAAATCAGTATGAAACCAGCAATAGCGTACTTCAGCGCGCTAATTAGCGCGTTCATTTGATTCTGGATCAAAACTAGATTCAATTCAAAAATTACTTTTTTTTACTTAGAATGCAGTAAATCTGTGCCTTCTAAGGTTTATTTTTACAATATCAGTTTGGATCATAAAAAAAATGATCAGAGCTGTCACGTTTGAGGCAAAATAATTCCTGTTTTTTTCTAAGATCTAAATGAAAATGTAAAATATTTGGGGAGTGGTTGCTACAAAAATCTTTTCTTGGATTCCGTAACCCCGTGAATATTTCGATAAGGTCCCAAAAATTTTCAGTGACCAGGGTCAATCACAATTTTATCCAAAGCCTTTCTCTCGGCACGAGACTAATCATAAAATTGGGTAGGGATAAAACTCTCTTCCAAATACAGTCGATGCACAAGATTTCATACGTTAGGCACTTTTACATCACTCCTTTATACAATAAGCTTCACATTCTACCAAATTCTGGATAGATGAAGTATGGAATCACATTGTACTATACCAAGTACGGAGACATTAGATAGAGATATGAAAAAAGTATTACATTGCAAAGTGTTTCCTTACTTCCATCATTCAACATTCTTCAGCAGTTTAGGCTCCCGCCAGAGTGCCGAAGTTATGCCAGCGCTACGCCAGCATTTCGATCGATACACGTGTATTTCGTTGGGGACGTCAGTTAGCCCCGCCCCAACTAAATACACGTGCATCGATCAAAATGCTGGCGTAGCGCTGGCATAACTTCGGCACTCTGGCGGGAGCCTTAGGGTAAAAGCCTGAAATTAGCTGAATTGGACATAGTCGAAGCAATGGCTTCACCAACATTGGCAATCATCTCGTTCCGCTATTATTTCTGTAAGGGTAATGTGTGCTGAACTGCTTTCTCAATTGTTTCTGCTGAGGAAAAACCTCCTTTGGTTGACGTCTGAAAGTAGAAAGCTTATGAGTTGTAGAAACTGCAAAACGCCGTTATAATATATCAGTAATCACCGTACTTGGCTGATAGAAATTGAGACCTAAACATGTTGGAGGTAGCACACAAGAGCATGCCAAAAATACCTAAAAAAATCGTTTTTCTCTTCGAAATGTGAAGCATGAAATTACATTTAGTGTCAACATCCCGCTGACAAACCTTGCCGAGTTCGCTGAAGCATTCCACTGTAGTCCAGGATCACCAATGAACTCAGCAATAAGCCGACAACGTATATTTATTTGATCTGTTCATGATTACAATAAATACATTGCTATATCGCTCTTGAATTCGGCTTGTCAAGAGTTGTACACATTGCCGCACTCACTTATCAACGCACTAATTACAGCTGCAGCAGCCGCTGCAGCATGAGCGTGTAAAGAGAACAGTGACAGCAATCACGAAACAGTAAAACGCATAAAAATTCATTAGCTCGACAATTCTGATCGAATTTTAGTCTTGCATGCTCATCTGTTATACTTGCTTCGCTTCTCCCGTCTTCTTGTTATGAGCTGTTCGTATTAGGTCGCTCCGAAAGTTCTACCGTTTCAAAAAAATTTTTTGCGCTATTTTGAAGGATTTGCGTGGTCTTTTGCCTTCGAATGATTCTTGCAGAGCTCCTCTTTCACACTGATTGCAGAGATAATGGTGGAAACAAAAGACTATATAAGCTCTGACTATTCTGAATTAGGTGACCAAAAGTTTGGAACGCTGCAGAAAGATCTAAAATCTTGGACCTGCTCTTCGTAAGTGTGAAAAGTTCGTGCGTCTGGACGTTTCTGTAAAGAGTTATGTTTTTCAAAACAGTGACAATTTATTTAATCTTGGAGTCATTCGTGTTACCCGAAATTCATAACATTTCGAAAGAAACCTTCAAAGAGCACAAGTTTTCACAGTTGCAAAGAGTAGGTCATAAAACTTATGATCGCCTCCTCGATTCGTGTAGAGGTGTATTGCGGAGTTTGCCTGATAACACAAGTAAACTTGTTAAACCTCCACGTCATACCATTGTTTTTTGTACCCTCTCGCTACCAAAAACCGCCACGCTTTGAGTTGGCAAAGCCTCGCCTCTACACGAATCGTGGAGCCGATGATATGTATTGGCGTTTTCTGATTTATCTGTAACGTTCAGATCTTTGGCGGCTCAGTGGTTGGAAATTAATGGCAGCTTGAATTTTCTACATTTCCAGACTTGTGGTTCTGTCAACAATGAGCTGGCTGAAACCCAAACTTCACTTATATAAGCGATCTTCGCCTAATACTCTGGTGGCGCGCTACCATTCCTCTCTCACAAATCTCGGCGTGGCGCCTCGAAGAACTCGGACAGGGTCTTTCAGTCCAACGGTGCTACATCTTTCAGTTCAACGGTGCTATACCTTGGAGTCATGTTGCAAGTAACATACCGTCCGAAAGAGCTCTTCAAGCTTTCACGAACAATGTGTCAAGTATCCGGAAATTCTCTTTGTTTTGGGTAAAAAGGGCAAAAACCTTGAAATTTTGCTATTTTTTTAGCGCAATAAAAGGCCAAAAAGCATGTCATAGCTTATTTCCGAAGACGTACGAAAGTTGAGGCAAATGATATGGATGGATATGAATCAAAAACCCTATCGGATAGTAACCAGAAAACTTGGGTCTACTTGCAAAGGAGTAAATAGTAAGCTTTTTTTCTCGAAACGGCTAATGATCGTATGTCCTGACTCAGCGCTGTCGCAAGTTGGACGACTGCTTCCTCATTCACTGCAGCAGTGCACTTTGAATAGTATCACATGCTTGACTGCGCAGGTAGTGCTCTATGTTTATGATTGTCAAAGTAATTGATTTTGCATTTCAGCAGGTTTGAAAATCATTCATTCATTCATTCATTCACTCATACTCAACGGTCTACAGTGCAAAAACCGTGATGATGGATAAGGCTTCGTTAGTTGTGGATGTAGACGTACGAGATATTGCCTCCACTTTCTTCACTGAGGCGCACTCTCCGCAGGCTCGCAATCCTTTCAAAAGCCGGTCGCAGTCGCACGTTGGTTCCTCCTCGATGAGCCACTCACAACTTGATATGAGCTCTTCCAGCCTGTTACGCCTTAAACGACTTCCTTCATTCTCGCGGCAGTGTAACAGACTTTCTTTTTCAACTTTCGACTAAATCGTATCTTCGCTCTAAGGAGGCGGTGATCGGAGCCACTCAAAAGGATGGAACTACTGAAACATCAAGGCAAGCTCCACCTTCGGTTTGTGAGAATGCGGTCGATCTTCGCGTGAAGCGTTCCGTCGAGCAATTCCCATGCCCACCGGCAATGCCTTCTTCATGACGATGAAGTTTTATAGAAAGGTTATGCGGCGAAGAAGCATACGAGACAGTTGACGTTTTTATTCAAGAGGCCATATCCAAACTTCGATCCTATAATCTCTCTCAAGTAGCATCCGATTTTCGCATTGAAGTCGTCCACAACAAACTTGTAAAATTACTTCTCAATACGAACGACTTTCTCCATACCTCATAGAAAGTACATAACTCTGATTCGTCAGCTGCTGAGAGAGTAGCAGTTGATACTGTTGATGGTATTCCGACGTGGAGCTGAAGATGGCCAGTCGAGGTGATATCTTACGCGAATCATAAAGATGGGCGATATATGGATGAACAAGCCAACGCGTTCAACGTTTCGTGATAAAACTTCTTTACCGTAAATGATGAGGGTCCCATCCCTATCTGTCGCACGTCCTTCTTTGTGAACTTCGTTTCCTGCACAACAACGACGTGGTATTTGAAATGCTCTGCAGCTTCGAGAAGAGCGTAGAGATCGGCGTTTGTGGAGACTGTCCTGGCGTTGGAGGTGCAAAGCGTGGGGCAGTCTCCACGGCGTGTCGCCCAGACAAACGTGTCGTTTTTTCCCTATCCTAAAGGCGCCCTGAGAATCCTGGCATCGTTGTTGCTACCACCCCGCGCCGTAGGCGGGATTCATGTAGGGTTCCTTTCTTATCTTGTTGACGGAGTAATAAGAAGAAAGATAGATCTATATATCTTTTACTCCGTTTCGTCCCTTTCCTTAGACGAAGTTTTGAGGTCTAGACCCTCTCCGGGACTCTTCAGTAAGAAGAAAGGGTCTAGTTTTACTTTTCAAAAGAAATTATTTTGAAAAAATTGTAAAACTCAACTTGTACTCCGATTGTCGTCCAATTCTTCTTTACTGTCGTATGATCTTCTGTGTTGCAAAGTAAGAATGGACTTGTCATGACTTGTTCATTTTTACTGTGTTATCATTTGTGTTGAATATATCATTTACACTTCGTTTGATATATATCGGTTGATCATAATTTATTCACATTTTGTAATACCAGTGCTTCACCTCTGCTTCGCAGAGGTTCGCACTGGCATCGTGAACCGTGGTAAACTCACTTTCTGAGAGCTTGTCCCTCAAATCATTGTTCGGTTTATTGCAACGTGAGCCGTAGTTAAAAATGAACCATACTCGCTATCTTAACCTCACATGATGTTAGTATCGTAAATCATTCCTCACTGTAATTTCGTAACGGACAAACTCCACACAACTTCAGATTAAGCCGCTTATTATAAGTCATCATGACTTATAATAACGGTCTAAGGGTTGTTTACGTCTTTTTGTGTGTGTGTCTGTCCGTTACGAAATTCGTAGCGCGTGTTCCAGCCAACGTTCTGAGCCCAAATTTTGCGTAGTGCACGCTACCAGCATGAAAGCTCACTATACAAAAGCATGAGCGGATCCGTTGAGTGGATCCGTTGAAAATTGCGCGTCAAACGGATCCACTTGGCTTCTGTCCAGCAAATTTGGGTCCGTAGTACTACTTTTTGCAGAGTTATGGATATATTTGACAAGTTAATGTGCAAGCCATGGACTTTAGTCTGAAAAAGTGATGAAAAGTCTACTACTTTACGAATACGGCGCCAAAAAGCATTGGATGTGTAAACGGTCAATTTTTCGAGATTTTACCTGATCATTTGAAAAGATTTTTGCACAGAGATGTAGCCCACCATGTTTATTGTCCTTATGGCGACTATGAAACCATGAAAATTTCAAAAACTTATTCAAATTTGCATTTTTTCTTTTGGTAAAGATTTCATCCACGCGAAAATACCGATTTCACTCGAAAAACCTCTAGGAATGAGTAGCTGTTTACGAATCATTCGTAATAGCCTACAGAGTGCGGTGAGTTTCAATCTAATTATTATACGGGAATGAGTAAGGCATAGATAAAGTAGGGCCAGTGCGAGCCTCTGCGAAGCAGAGGTGACGCACTGGTGATATTATATTTTTCTATACTCAGTTTTTTTGAATTCATTATTTAATATATTATATTTATATAGTATAAATGGATTTCTATGCAAGCATTTGAAAATTGAGGAAGATATTACACTTACGTCATATTCATTCTCAAGCAGTATATCTCTGAGTTTTGAGATTTTTTGCATAAATAGAAATTTTTCCCCTACAAGGGGCAGACCTACTGGACCTACTCTTAACTCCCAAGGACAATCGTTAACCCCGTTAGAGCTGAAACCGCCTAGCAATCAAAAACCAGATGGTAGGGGATCTGACCTGATCTCTCTTAACTGAATATCCTGCCGAAACCGGATATGCCCAACACCTTCACAGCTTGGGAGGCCCTTCCAAGTATACACTCTGCTGTACACTGCGGTATGACACCCAGAGCAACTCCCATGCCACATTGAGGCGGCGGACCATAGTGGGGGAATGGACAATATAATAGGTGGAACATTCCTCAGACGTTGGCCCGTAGTAAAGCTCGGTCAGGGGACATGATCTCCTCTGAAGCTTTCATAGAAGACTCCTTTAAGTAAAATGAGGACTGCCCACTGCTTTTCCTTGCTGTAAATATGCAACGTCACTCAACAGGTGAGCTTCAGATCAAGCTAGGCAGGGAGATCAGCTCAATCGATTCATCGGAAATGAGCCAGCACCGACATAACGCCAATCTGTGCTAAAAAAGAGACAACGGAGAAACGTTTCTTAGGTTGCTCGCGGGTAACTTACGAGACACCGCAATTGACGTTCTTTAATTTGTCCTCGTATTAAAGCCAAATTATTGTGTATTTGTTTTATCTCGTTATTTGTTAGGTGAAATCTCTGATAGCGGCTATCATCGGTATTCCGACAGTGACCGTATCAAAGATCGCGGGCTAAGTAGCAAAAAAAGGCGCTGCTAGTCATAGTCGAACCACGGGCTGCCGTTTGAAACGCATTAGTCTAATCCACTTGACTAATATTCACAAATGTCTATAATGTTCCACCCTTGAAAACACGAACGTCCAAAAAGCGGTCTGCTCCAGATCAATCGCTTCCCTGGCAGAGCGCTGAGGCGCCGTAACGTCAACTTAGTTTCACCTCAGTCGAGTTGAAATGACGGGGGTTACTACGAGCCGATGTCAAATTTGCTATGCTAATCAGCATCTTCTCAAGCATCAGATTTGACAAAAGTATGAGAAAAAGAAGTTAGTTAGCAACTTTTGAAAGTATATTCAGGGCTATTTTTCAGGGATAAGTTTTTAAATCAGAGGTGTTTTTGAATATGCGTACTGAATACAGCTTTTGACCATCTTTGAAGTTTGTTGCGAAAGTACCATATTTCTTTCATTTTTGGAACAACTCGCGACACATTCTAACCATCTTAGGAGATGATTTGCACGGGTTCAAAGACTGATCCCATTTGGGGTTTTCAAACGGGTTTATTGAGCACTGATTATGTCAAGCGCATCGTTTCTTGAAGGCCCTATGCAAGCAGCAAGTAGCAATTAGATCTCTTGCTCGTCTCTCTTCATACGTCCTCTGACAGTAGTACATTCCACGTTTTTTAGTACAATACAGCATGCATACTAACAAACACAGATAATCCTGTAATTGTATACTAGCTGGCTTATCCGGCTCTGGCCGGCCCTGTCAATGCTATGATTAAAGGCACCGTCCACCCAAAATGGAGGTTGGCGAGATTATGATGGCATACTAGTGTAAGCCCCCATACTAGACAAACCCCCAAGCTTCGCTGCAAAAGACTGCTTCTGAAGCGAGAAATCCGCTCCGGAAGTAACAAAAGTGGGCGGGGCGCCCCCGGTCGCCCCGCTCACTTGCATGCTTTATCTCGCCTGCACTTGTTGCAGAGGGTTCTCGAAACAGGGATTTTTGGGGTTTCGCGAATTTTCGACTCCATATTCGGAATCAGGGCTTTCAGAAGGCCTGAAGGCGAGAAAAACATTGAATTCGAGTTGGGTGGACCGCCGGGGGCGCCCGCCCACTTTGTTACTTCCGGGGCGAATTTCTCGTTTCAGAAGCAGTCTTTTGCGGCGAAACTCGGAGGTTTGTCTAGTATGAGGGCCCACACTAGTATGCCATCATAATCTCGCCAACCTCCACTTTGGGTGGACGGTGCCTTTAAGGTCTTTCCCCTATCCCTGTAAAACCTTTCATTGTGCCCACTTCTACATGCAATTCCCTATTTTCCCGCTGTGTCAGTAATTAGCATGCCCACCTACCTCTTTCAACAACCCTCAGCGTAGCTCAAGCTTTGCAAAAAAGCATTAAAACCGGTAAAATTAAAAATAATTCTGAAAACTGATGGCGCTATTCGGCTATCCGGCCCCAAAATGTTTTTGGGATGGATCTTGCTCAAAGTCGGTACATGGGGATTATTAAAGCCGCTGATGACGAATATGGTAGTTAGTTCGCGCGATAGCGCCATTTTCTGGGTTCACGTTAGGTACACATAAGAAGCTAAAATTACGGATTTCGCTGAAACTTTGAGGGGGCTAATTGACATGCTGATTACGAATATCAAACTCCTTCGGCAATTTGAGGCGATTTCACTGAGTTATGGTAGGTATACTGCAGAGGGGCAAAATCTCAGTTTTAGCTGAAACTCGGTCTAGAGAGATTCGACCTTCTGACCACGTTTAAAGCACTCTCGTTCGTTTTGAGACCTTTTCGCAGAGTTACAGTAGGTACGTGGCAGCGGGTAAAAATCATGAACCTGCCTGAAACCTTAACAGAAAATTACCTAAAGTCTGTTTTAAGGATATCGTGCTCAATCCCCACGATAGAGGCAATTCGTGGTATAAAAGTTTCCCACGATCGTAATGCTTTCCCTTATAGGACCACTGCCGTGCACGAGAGACCCTTCGGCGGCTTTTGCCTAAGCAAAAACAGGGGGAGGGAGATTTGCCGCGTGCGTTACACATTGGAACAGGTTATCAGGATGGCGCTGGAGACCGCCATGCATAACGACCGTTTCCCCATTTCGTGAATATCTGGGATCTAAATTGGCCCGAAAGCGAAAAAATGTCCATTCAAACCTTGCAGCTCACCATAACTTCACTAATGCATCATGACAGCGAGCAAGCATCATATTCATAAGCAATATACTTGTGAACCGTTACAGGTAAGGTTTTGGGCAAATCTGGGACTTCGACCATCTACACCCACCGTAATGCAAGAAAATGCACTATCCTGCGAAATCAGCATGATATTCATGTTCAGCCCGCTAAATGACCACCCTAGACGAAGTTTAAAGCAAACCTATGTTTTCGACCGCATGCCATATAACCACCACAACTCTATAAAAGGTCTCAATATGCAGAGAGAGAGATGATATTCGTAATCAGCATGTCGAATAAGCCATATGGACCGAACTCCAGCAGAATTCATGATTTTGACTTCCTACCGTACACCTATCGTAACCACACGGGAAGACGTTCTGCGGAGAAAGTGTGATATCTGTAATCAGCACGTAAAGGGCCGGGCATACTTTATGCGATTTCAGTCGCGACGCGGGTTGGCAATTCGCCAGAAGTCTTCGGATCCAACATTAGCAAATCGCACATGCATAGTGTGTATAACTTACGTAAACTGATGAAATGCGCTACCTTTATAATATGCTTGCAATGAGTTATGGACACCTGGAATATTGCCAAATCGCGTCACGATTGAAATTGTTTGAAGTATGCCCGGCCCTTAAGATAACCCTGATACACGAAGTTTGAGCAAGCTCTGACAAAAAAATTTGTTCGTAATCAGCATGCTCGATTACTCCTCTGTGCCAACTCCCAGCCCCGCAGGTCAAACTTTACAAAAATGTCGATAAAATTGATAAAATCGACATCGATCGATGACGAAAAGTAGCCTATGACACCCGCCGAGGCCCGAAGTGTATGTGTGCCGAGTTGGGTCCGGATCGGTTCAGAAATGGAATTTTCTATTCGAAACATACGTACACACATACATACATACATGCACATAGACAGACAGACATACAAACAGACATTCAACTTTATATATAAGATGATTTATCATTTCGAACATAGGTCTGGCACCAAAAATTCTAAGAAAATCTGAAACAAATTCGGGAAAATGCTTAGATGACCATTTCATAGGCGATTCCCATGCGTATAGCGGGCGTTACCTTGCAAAAGTTTGAACACGTTGAGAAATTGGTGAAACCCCCATTCTAAAGCATTAGTTTTTGTGCTCTCTAGCTATCAAAAACTGCCACGCACATACGTTGGCAAAAGTCGGTGAAGCTCCGCCCGTTATATTGTGGGCAATGGACGATAGCCTGTACAGCATTTTTTGGTCAGGCATAACACATTTAGTGTTTATGACATGTGAAATTGCACTTTGATCAAAGTCAAAATCCAAAAAAGAAGGAAAAGTACAAAATTTCGTACAGATAGATACCGATTGGTACGATTGTTTTTCAGAGCCGGTTAAAAAGAATAGATCATAAAAATGTTGGGACTTTCAGAATTTAGCGACCGACACTGATAGTAGTAAACAGGCCACCAAATCTGCTGCAGAAGCTACTGTTTCCATTATCTCTCTGTCGTTGCTCGGATCTGTCAAACTGGAAAATCACTTGAGAATGCTATTGTAAACACTAATAAAAACTCTTCCATGTAAGGTCGGTCGTTGTGTTTTTTATAAACATCTCAAAACTAGAACGAATAAATTAAGTTAGCTATCGAAATGTCTTGATTAACTTCACCGAAAACAGTTATTGATGCACTTTACAAGCCAGTAGAACAATTTCTCAGTTTTCATGACTGAGGCCTTTGAAGCAGCGGTTTGGGCGATCACCTTTTCCGAAAACCATACAGTCAATTAGTTTTTGACAACGTTCATGCCGTGCAGTCTTAGACGCACTCGTAACATTTTGAACAGTTACGCACCCAAGTGAACCCGAATGGCATGCGATCTTTTAAGAAAATACCACGCCTCAGATTTACTCGTCTTGGCGCATGTCGCAGCTCCATGCTGATAGAATATCTAGTACAAATTTGGCTTTTTTGCTGGCTTTAGAGATTTCGAGGCGAATTTCACGGAAGAACACGAGAAGAATTTATTGTTTATACTACAAAGATTACCACAAGTATAGAAATGGTTTGAGTGCGAATCATTTTCAATTGTCTGGCAACATTATGAGGTTCGTTGGCGACTGGTTGACACATTGACGACCGCTTGACACACATGGTGCGTCAAGCAATGGCTACCGCGTGGGACCGTTTGACACACCATGTGTGTCAAGGCTTGAATTTAGTTAAAATTACTACTATCCTGGGATGAACTCACTCCACAAGCTTCTTTTTGCACTGAATATAAAGAAGACTTCTACTCTCTCCGTCTGCATCTCAGATCTTTTGTAGGTGCACTGTAGATGGTACTATGCATAATTATAGTTGAAAAATATGGGCTGGTCCGTCAAAGGCCTTGGTCCCAGAAGGCAGACAACCAAAAATCGGCATGGTCGTCAATGTGTTAATCAGGCTGCGGGCAGCAGGGCTGCTGCAGTATCTCAAAGCAGTGCTAATTTGTAAATGTCAGGACAGTCTTAGCTGCCCGCTTTGCTTGTGCATCTCTCTCAGCTATAATTCACTTCAGCAGTTGGTACCTACTATTCTTCATATTCATCCGTCATACTACACCCAAAGAGATTTGTGATAAATACAATCCACCGATTGGAGACACATCGGACTACAAGAAACTTGCACAGTTATTCAAAGAACGCATGTACGACAAAGTGAATCCATCTATTTTGTTCGAAATTGATTTGGAAAAACACTACTTGTTGGATCTTTTACTTTCTTCTAATTTGCAGGGTCTCATACTAAGCTCAGGGCCCGGCACGGATTGTCTGGAAGCAGGGTGGACTTCGTTTTTGGAGCAAAAAGCAAAGGAGACATCGTTTTCGACGAGTTGAGGCCGAGCACCAAGAATAAGCGCCATTTAGTCGAACATGAGCTTTTCGGACAGGTTATCACACGCTTGACATGCTCTATCGTGCACGACGAAAAGTGCGCACGATTTGAAAGCAAAGCTAAAAAAAAAACAAATTGCTCGTTTACAGCGCACACAGAATCCTATGACACCAAAATGAAACTGTATACATAGAATATTATTAGCAAAAGAATTATGCAAGAAGATTTGAAAACTTATGTAAAGTATTACCTTTTCCGAAATTAGTCCGTCTTCAGACGGTCATAATCCAAAATTTATGTGAAGTGAAAGAAATATATGCTCAAGACGATCTAAGATCGTCTTAAGCATATATTTCTTTCACTTCACATAAATTTTGGATTATTCTATCAGAAACGGATTGCATTTTCATACCGTTGCCTTTCCTTTGTTTCTTGCCTCACTTTCTTCATGAATCGCTTTGTTAAATATCGCGTTCCAATGCCAAACTCTTGAGCATGCGTAGTCATCAGCTCCAATTTCATTTTCACTCTTACCTCACATTTTTTCCTTCAGATTAGTAAATTTTTCTTGTTTTCATCTTTTTTTAAGTAGGCAGGTCAAGGAGATCTTCGTTAAATTTCCGAAAGCCAGGGGAGACTTCGTTTTCAAAAAACCCTAGATACCGACTGCCGGGCCCTGACTAAGCCGAAGCGTATGACCCACTTTTCCGTTTTCAATTTTTTTTCATTTTCCTTTTTTATTTTGAGTGCAAGATAAAGTAAACAGCTAAACTTTTACGCACGAAGAAGGTAATGTGCCAATTAAGCAGAATAAACCACATACAGAATGCCCCAAAAAATGTACTTACTGTTTGATTGTAAATAACTCTCTTGTAATGAAGTGTTTCGGGAAGCTTTAGGTAGATACCATTTTGTAGAGCCAGTTTCAACTTAGATTTACAGTATAGAGAGAATCACCGACCGCTCATTCTTACTGTAGGATTACGGTAGAAACTTTGACGATGGTTTTGAGCCATGGAAGGCCATAATTTGCCCCAGAAAGGAATCAAAACAACCTGAAAACTCTTACGCTGGGCTAATTAGAGTTGCCGGTTTTAAATGTGAAGTTTGCAACTTTTCGTAATGTTTCATAAAAAAATTATGCGAGGTAAGCAGTAACGGCCGTTTTTTGAATGTTCCTGAAAAGTTCAACTACAACGTTTGGAAAGCTTCGCAACCCTGTAAAAAGTTGCATATTGAACTCAGCGGCCATGAAAACCCTATTACACAAGTTTCCACATTTTTTGAAATTTTTGAAACGGCCGGTTTTTTCAAAGTGACACCATATGCTTAAAGTTTCTACCGTAATCCTACAGCAATGAGGAAAGATAGATTGGTGATTCGCTCTATACTGTAAATCCAAGTTGAACCTCGCTTTACAAAATGGTACCTAAAACTTTCCGAAGCACTTCATTACAAGGGAGTTATTTACAATCAAACAGTGAGTACATTTTTCGTGATATCCTTTGTATCAAACCTGTTTTGCTAAGAAAGCTCTGAGAATATTTAAAACATGCTTATTTATGAGCGGAGAACTAATAGTAAAACTGTGTAAGCCTCCGCGAAGCAGAAGTGATGGTAAGATATACTCATTATTAACGATGTTCTGCCATACATCACTGCTCCACTCAAGCGCGCGAAAGATCGTTCTGTACCGCTATTCCGTCTGGATTTTCGTTTATGTTTTACGTTATTTTTTTACGTTCATGTGCTCTCATAGGAAAATTTCCCGCAAATAAGGCAGTTTGCAAGCAGTAATTAGGCCACATCTGCTGAAGTACATCTCAGATTGAACCTTGAGTAAAACGGCTTTCCTGATTAGTTATGCCTTCGAAATAAAAAGATTAGTCACAACACTCTGCTCCAAAATCATGAAATCTAGACTTCATTCCTAAGTAAGTTGACTAAAAGTGCTAAAGTTGCGTCGACGATGCCCGCACATGAAATTCAAAAGCGAGCTGCGCGTTAAAAAAAGTACTTGCTGAAAAGAGTTTGCTGATTTCTAGAACACATATTAAGCGAAAATACGTTCGATTTGCAGAGCTACTTCCTAATAATTAGTGCCTTCTGGACTTGGATGATGCAGAAATTCCTCTGAAAACACTAATTAAGTGTAATGTAACTTATTGTTAGAAACATTTGTCTCATTCAAAGCTCAAAGTTCAGTCCGTTTTTTTAGTGGTCAAATGTAAAAACAATCTTCTCGAGAAATAGTTTCTCGATTTTTGAAATAACAGATGTCATCTATTGAAAATGACTTAAACACGTCTATTGAGGCGCATCCGTGTGATAATTTCTATCAGTTCGCATGCGGGACATACAACGTGAAAGCAACATTGAAGGACGTTGTGAGGACCAAACTTGCCGCTAAAGAAAAAGAAAGTATCGTAGGTATGTATGCCTATCCTTTGTTCCTAACTCTAAGTAAGCCTCAGAAAATGTAGGGAGGTATCTTTGCCTCCACGGTCTACGTTGGGCGGAGCATTTGCAGACATCTGAACACGTTGTTGAACTTATTAACATCTACTGCAAGGGATTGTTTTTTGTAACCTCCCTCTACCAACTTTGCCATTGACAACAGCATATATACCATTTGATTGAACTGGCTTGGCTTTGGGAAGGCGGGGCTTCGTGACCTAATTAAGGCTAGCTAATGATTAGAGGGCACTCGCGAGAGACGCAGGCGCGTCGCAGGCGCGAACGGCCTTGACTAGGTCACAAAGCCTCGCCTTCCCGAAGCCAAGCCAGTTGAATCAAAGGTTATGGCAGTCCAGGGAGTACAAAGAACCATATTTGCAGCAGAGTTTTGACATCACCAACGCGTTCAGATGTTTGCAAATGCACCACCGAACGTACACTTGGGAGACGACGATAAAAATCTATTCTGGTACTGAGATACTCGAGTACGCTTTGCGCACTTTGCTTAGACAAGCTTGATCGTGTGGAAAACAAGTTCAGACTTGTGATTTACCACAATCAGAATTATTTACCACGTGGAACCAATAAAAACTGGTTCAAGCTTGTTAAGACAATATGTGAAAAGCATATTTTGGTTTCTTAGTCTTAAAATAGACAAAACTTGTCTGTAACATCTCAGCATATTTTCGGGTCATTTGTAACTTACCCCAATTTCAACGCGTAGAAGGTGCACCTTTTTTGAGTCTTTAAACTAGCATCTCAATTGCGTCAATGTATTTCTTGAAACGATCCTTATGTCGCACTCTTTTAAGTATTAAACAACACGTGTAGGGTCCACGAGGGACGAGTGGCGTAGTGGTATAAGGCGCCGCTACAACCAGATCAGACACTGCTCAGACACTCGTGCCGGCCGGCGGCCGTTCCATCATTTTGGAAGAAGCCAAACGCCGGCCGTCCACCACGGGTACATGCCGGTCGGAGGCCGTCTCTCTGTGCAAGAGTTCGGAAAGCGCACAAGATTGCGCGTACAGTAAGAAAATAATTTTAAACATTGGGCACTTGTGTCTTCTAAGCAGAAAACTTTTCTTTATCAATTTTCCTTTGCTATTGTTGAGGTTTTCCACTTCGGTTGCGTCACTTTCTATGTTCGAATTCGATAGTTGATGTAGTATTATGATTCCGCTCATTTCACTCTCTTTTCAGATTTCAAACTCCATAGTGTTTGTTATCCTTCTTTCAATATTCCTGCTTATTTTGACTTGAATGGCGAAAAAGGCGAATATTAGTGAGTTCAAGCCTATTCGTTGTGACGTAGTTCTATATGTCGCATCAGCTTAAAGGTACGAAGTAATAAAGTACAAACTAGACGTCCACAATTTTTTCTGGAGACAGCTGCAATATGCATAGTGGTTCTGTTCTTGCTTATCTGATGCAACTGCAGCGAATGATTGAGTGCTGTCAGTTTAATACTATTAGTCGTGAAAACGAATACGGCTTCTAAAGAATCTCCTATATATATTTTCAGTGCATCGACTGTTCCTGTTTTGCTGAGTATTCTAATTTATCTAGAGATCGCTGATATGTCGGTTCCTGCTACGCGGAGAACATAATTGGAGGTGTCGGTCTATCCGATATTCTGCCGCCTCTAACATGATGCTTACGGCTGGGCGCACTCCAAAAGACGTAAGTTCTCCCCAACTACCGATTGAACCTACCTTTGCAGTGCTTCCTAGGGACCGATAAATCATCTGTTCTAACCGTCTGCTGGAACGCATATGTTTCTGATATTGCTCCGCTAACAGACGTTGTCGCAACTCTATGCATAGCTGTAAATTTGTATCAGTTAAAATTGTCAATGGTTTGTTTTATTTACAGGTTATTGAAACAGCTCATCAACAGTCGGGTGTGGCATTCAAAAGTACAAAAAACTTCTGTGACCTTTTAGCCAATTCGGAACGGCTGTCCAACAATATGTGAAGTGAAGTCGCCAGTTGCGTTAAATGATCTTGTAGAGATGGAAAGTCACTAGTTTTGTAGATTCAAATGTATTTTTCACGTATATGTGTACAAGAGTTTAGTGTTTCTTCGCATTGCATCTTTTGGCTGTAATAAATATGCTGTTGTAGATGCGTACCACTCTATATTAAAATTATAGTGGAACAAAAGCTAGAATTCAGAAGAGGAAATAGTTGGCCCAGCGCCATTTCGCTGCGCCACTGACGCATGCCTGCCGCGGCCGTACGGGTACCGGCTGGCGGCCGGCCGATGACTGTTCCGGCCGAAATGTCGGCGACGGACCAGCCGGCCGTCGAACGGTCGCTAGCCGCTGCGAGTGTCTGAGTAGTTGGTAGTTCGATCCCCGCCCATGAGCCAACCAAGCTCTCTACCTTCCGGGGCCGGTAAAATGGTACCAGAATAATCTGAGAAGATAATAGCACTAACTTGGTGAACGGCTGGCCCCCACAATTCACAGTAATAGGTTCGCACGCAAACAATTGCCTCTTCGACGTTGAAGTAGTGTGCGTTCGGAGCATGCCCGTAGAGGGTATTAATGACCGAATCCTTTATCCATTTTATCCTTTATGTAAGGTCCCTCGGTTTTCTTTGCATGTTTGAGCTGGACAGTTTTGGAGAAAGAATCCACCGCTTTGAGCGCGTGAAAATTGTGTAATCTGGGAAGATAAAAGATGTACTATGCGTATTGCACCATGCGCGCTACTTGACGAACGTAAGATCAGAACCTGCCCAATTAGAGTAATCTCCGCTTCTTCCATTGTGATTGAATATGTGTTAGTTGATTTTACACGTTTTCGAAAATGTCGTGCTGCAAAAGATTTTACCGAGAAGTTACTGGTATATGTGTTGTCAGTCACCGCGTATTGTGTGCAGGCTCACATAATAAGTTAAAAATGACTCTACGATAGCTAGTGCTGTACTTCTTTGGGTGCAGAGCCCAATTAAATGTACGATACAGCAGCTCAGAACGTTTTGCAGCTGAAAGCCGTCGCTGAAGCTATCAGCCACTTTTGTAGCCACTACGCAGCAGGTCATGCTTTCCCGTCAAATAAATCGGGTGGAGGATTACACGTCGCCGAGTGTGGGAGGGTCCCGCGTTGACTTCTTCTGAAAACGCACCTACCTGCTTTTGCAAGGGTGCGTATTTGTTGCAAATGACCGCAGGGGCCGCAACCTTTCGGCAATATATAGTCCTCCACCCGAAAAAAAAACTCGCTTCAAAAAATTCCTTCAATATTGACTCACCACTTATTGTTCGCTTAGAAATGTTGCTTTTCTCTTACGAAAGCTTACAAGTATTTGCTTATTTTATCTCTTTCGAAGCCTTCTACCAAAAAGATTGGTTGAATTTGAAAAATTTATCCGTATCTAAATCTGTCTTAACGTTGCATCGGATTCCATAATCACACACATTTGATTGTTAGTCTAATGTACCTTAAAACCGGAAACATCTTTGTAAACTTGCCACGAAAAACATTCATTTCAAGTGATCTTAAATCACACCATTTCATGAGATTAAAAAGTGTACTTTGGAAGTAGCAAAGAGACTTACGTTATTGTTTCATTCTGTAATATGTTTGGAATCCACGCCGGGGCCTTTCCAATGCTTTACTGTTGTGCTGGTTCTCTTATAACGTTATTAAAAAATTGGCGACAACGAGCGCATTCCGGAATGCGTCAAAATGAAATGCAACGGTGCTTTAATAAACAAGAATGTGCAGAGATTCCTGCCTCGTAGAGAGAGAGAGCAGTGCTGCGCACTTGATAAGAATTCATATGCTTTGCATGGCAGCGAGGCATACCGTTATTGCCACAAATTGAAAGAGCTCATTATGCTTTCTGTAGCGTTTCTTGACTACCGATCGCACGTGCATAATGCATTTTGCAGAAAGTAGTCTTTGCGATGAAGTGTTATAAGGTGGTTACGTAAAGGTAAGATATAATAGTTGATCATTCTAAACGCATTATTAAGTTGACATTTTCTCGGAGTCATTGGACTCTCCTCGGAATCTTTTAGGCAAGGTTATTTATTATTCCACCAATTTGTCCTTGCTTTGCTTATTCCATTACTTTAAGAGCATTTTTGCTGGCAAACGTACGACATGAGCATCATCTCCATACATCAGGGTTTAACTTTTCTTTTCTATCGCGTAAGACTTATTCACATACTACTACCTTTGCTATTTACTTGGAGTCATTAGACTCTTCCCGTTGCATTGGCTTAGCGACAGTGGATCTACTATCGCAATGTGTTTACTTGTTAGATCATCTCAGGATTGTTTTGCTAGCAATTAAAGGGGCATGGGTGCCATCTTCATGATCACATTCATTCAATACCGAACTTGTAGTCATTTAGTGGTCACCTACAGGCTGTATCATTGCATTTACTAATTTAGTCCAGAGGATTGGAGTGAACTGCATGATGATCTATTCTTATGGTTAGTTTATGTACAATGTGTGTTTTTGTTCGTTTGTAAGGAACGCCAAGAGCGTATTGAATGTAAATAAAAATAAAATAAATTTCGCAAAAATTTGCTAAAAATTTACTCGGTCTTTTTTGACAAAATTCTACTTTTGCCCCCAGAGACAAGGGAGCAAAGCAAGCATGTTTTGCTGTGAAAAGGCCTACGGACTTTAGGCAGTAAGATTTTGCCAAAAGTTTTGAGATTTCAATGTTAACACATTCGGTGCATCGACTTTGGGATCTCCCCCCCCCCCCCAAAACAGAGCTCGGCATGAGGTGGTTTTTCCAATTCTTCAAAAACGAAGTCCGTGTAAGCTTCAGCACAAAAATACGACATCACCTATGACGCGATCATAAACGGATCAAAAGGAATAACGAAAAAATAATGGAACAAAACATTAAACCAACATCGAGCAGACGAAAAAAGACCGAGTATGTTCGTATTTGACGAATTGGCGGCATGTTATGTCCGACGCGCACCCTTGCGCGCTTGGAGCCGGCTTGCCGCCGCCATACAAAATATTTGGAGGACTGTAACTAGGCGAGGAAGAGGGGGTTTAGGGAGTTTCACAAACTCAGTTGTAGGATTTTTGATGCAGAACAAGGCTATGTTGATATTGTGAGAAAATTATGTGAAGGAGAGAAAATGTATGATTTTTTTTTCACAGCCACCTCAAGTGGCTGTTCAGGTGGCTGGAGCGCCACCTAACTCTAAAAAAAGTTTGCTATACCTTCAGTTCACATAGCTTTTTCACGACTTTTCGCGCATAGTCCTAACTCCCTATTGCCCATCTAGACAACAATTCTGGTATTATTTCATTTTCTTTTCGCTGTAAATAAGTCTTTTGTTTATTTCGGGGTAGGTTGTCGCGCGTTTGAACCGGCGAACATGTTGAAACAGGAAATTTTTGGTTTTTGCAGATCGATAAGGCAGAAATGACAGTTTGTGTCTTCTTCTATAGAAGATGGGTGACATAAAGGCAGAAGGCGATTGTGTGTGGGGGCGGGGTTGAGGTTTCCGCTTCAACGATATTCCCTTTGCTTTTTATTCCGGAACGATATCCAGCTTGCCCTGTAAGATACCTGTGCCGAGCCCTGCCCCAAAATAAAAGCAGAACGACGGCCAGGACTTAATGCGGCAGAATATTTCCTTTGAGAATTTTTAGATTTTTAGGTTTTACAATTAAATATTACGAAACTTGATTAAACAATTTGGGTGCTTTTACTCTCCTACTTTTGCTACTAGAAGGAAAAGAAGAGAGCAAATTTCGGTTTTTCCGAAGAAAAGGCGAGAAAAGGCTAAGTAGCTGTACGCGGGATTACCCACTAAGATTGCCGCAAGATTAGCTGAGCGACCTTCGCTCTCGCTGGAAGATGTTTTCTCATGAAAGCTGCGCTGAGAGAATTTAGTTTATTTTGATGCCCTGAAGAATGCTGTAAGAGTAGTCAATCTTATCGAAATGAACCCCAACTTTGCAGCAGAGTAGCTGCCTACTTCATTTAATTTCGATCTAGTTTTATTACTAACTTGCTTTCGTGTTGCGTCTCGAGCGCGAAAACCCGCTGTCGTGTTTATCTTTGGCACTGGAGTAAAGCTTACCTGAAGATCCCTACTACATATTCTTTTTATTCACAAATGTGTTTTGGAATAATTTCCAAGAGAGAGAGAGAAGAAAAAAGTAACTTAAATTCTATCTTATCAAACCCGATATCTTGTTGTCATTTTCAATGTAAGTTTTTGACCCTATCAAGAGGTAAGCTCAAATAGACACCTTTCGAAGATTTGTGGTCTCAAAAGCTGATATAACATCCGAAGAATATGGGTAGCTATAGTGTGGACCCCGGCCAGCTTCCCATAGGTACTAGCGCGGCGCACACGCAACGCGCGCCCGACTTGACGCTTCTCATTTTACTTCCGAACAAAAAAACAATTTGACCGAAAACAGAAGTGAAATGAGATATGGAAACCTCAAATCTGAATTCGAGAAAAGCCAAGGCAGTAGGAGAACCTTCACAACTTTTACTAGCGCTCAGATTCCAGTCAATCTCATAATGGCTGGAATATGAGCGACAATCTGAGCGTATGACACTACCAGCGGTGGATGATAGAAGTAACAGGAAAAGTCGAAAAACACTTCTGAAAATTTTTCCTTCAGTGGTCATAAAAAGCCCAAAAAGTTTGAGCTCAAGAGCACCATTGCAAAGCCCTGATGGCGTAATCAAAAGACTAGAAGCATCTAAACTGCACAAAATCAATTGCATATACACTTATTCTGTGAAAAGAACCTTTGGAGAGGATATTCCCCTGAACTACACTGAAATCTTCACTGCTGAAAAAGAAACGAGAGATTTTCGAAACAAAAGCTTGCAAAACTGTCAGGGCTCGTAAAAATCCATCACCAGCAGTGACGTGAGTCGTTTGCATCTAAAGTAGAGAAATTACAGAGGAAAACAAACTCACTTGAAAGAGAAAATTGAAAGAAATCCCTTCAGAGCCAAAAAGAAAAGCGCACTGAAGGTATGCGCTGCAGGCGCGCCGCGGAGGTACCTATGGGAAGCTGGCCGGGGTCCACACTATAACAATCTTAGAGACTTCCTTGATAATAGCGAGAGTGAAGATATGACGAAAATAGCAGCGAAGTCGTGTTTACCACGTTCAAAGTCTGCAGAGTCAATAAACTGCTGCGAATTGAGTTGGAAAGAAAGTTCGCGGACTTTCTTTTTCGACAGAGTTTTTGTTTCGATGTAAACATCGATTGGGATATGCTGTATACCGCTTGACCGGGGAAATCAATCTATACAAGTTTATGGTAAGCACAATCATTATCAATGTTTTGTCTGAAAATTTAAGCAAACCGAGAATTTAGGATTACCCAACCCAGTTCTTCAACTTCTTTAACATTAAGAAACACACATATTAGATTGCTGCATAAATTCTGTCCGATTTGAATGTTTGGAGTTCAAAATGTTATAACTTCTTTCAAATCAACTTTTTTCCAAGATCTTAGCTTCCTTGTATTGTGCAATTCCTTGGCTATCAGAAACATATTGAAGCCTGCGAAAATCCTTGTTAAGAAAGGAGCAAGAACTCAAAAACTTCTGAGCGTTTTTCTTCAAACCTGTCTTTTTTGACATGGCAATGCTCCCTTATGAGAATTAATAGGCATCTTGTCTAACAATGGTAGGATAAAGAATTTCCTGTAAATTATTTTGCTCCATAAAAGAGCCCATAGGGTCTGCGTTGCCGAGAAATTTTCTTGACCGAACAAAAAAAGAAGTCACTTTTTGACCTCGCTTCAGCGCATGTGTGCATGCCTATTTACGAATTATGAAAATTCTACAACTGACGTGAGCGCCGAAAAGAAATCGGTGGATGGTCTCCGCTAGCCCTTGCTTTACCCTAGCACCTCCCCAACTTTAAAGTCGTCGATTACTTCTATTCGCAGGAAGTTATTGCTTTAAAACATCTATACAGAAAATTAATGTTTGACAATAAATTTTACTAGCAAGACGCTTTCTTCATGAAACCAAACTTATGTGTATGCTAGCCTGTTACACTTTCATTCCGCAGTCAATGAAAAAACTTGACTTGAAGGGCGCATTGTGGAGATTTCCTCGCAAGAACAGCTCGGCCATTTGGAGATTTTAGGTCTGAAATCTCCTTACACCAAGACATTTATGGAAATTTGATATGCTTTGAAAAGCGCAGGAAAAGCACTTTCTAACGATACTAGCAATACCGCATTAGAGATGAGATTCTCTTAGACCAGCTGCTTCAAACATAAGGCAAAAAAAATCGGACAGATTATGCAGCAGCCTAATACTTACACACTTACATGCACACTTTGTATGGAATCTGAGCTTAAACAAAAGGAAGGTGTAATTGAAAAGTGGCAAACTCCGCCTTCATTGTTTCTGAGTTCCTCCCACTTGGTTAGGTATCAGATACAGCGGGAGAAGAGAGTGCAGCTGCACATTTTCGCGCATGTGCATGCATCAAATTTCGAAAAATAGGAGGTTTACTTTGAGAATATGAGAACTTTCTTTCCAACCTGATACATTCAAAAAAAATCATGTAATCATTAAAGCGCCTGCCCCATCCTTTGACCCACCTTGAACGTATTTAGTTACTCAGTACCACAAATTTGGAGTGATAACAAGCCTTTCACGAACTTAATCTAATGTTGACGTTTGCAACCGTGTAATTTACAATTTCAATAATCAGCTGCTCAAAGCTCAGATAGTTCTCACTAATAATCCCAGTCTTGCCCACATGTAGCATAAAATTTACAAAAGAGCAGGCTTGCATCTTTGCACATGTTTGAGTCAGCACTTCATGGAAGCAGTTAGAAATTGACGCGGAACAACACTTAGGTAGCCGCTAGCATAGTCGAAAAAATTTTTGCACCTTCACTTTTGATCACTTCTGAGACTCGTTCTCTAATGCTGCAATGTTTGCTTATGTTAGCTCGTAAATTACGTGCTGACACAGGACCGCTCAAATGACTACTAAGAGCAAAGATATAATGCACTGTTCGGATATTTCAACCATGTTGATTTTGTGTTCCAGGGCTTCTCATTGCAGAAGAACAAGTAACGCCTTCCAAAGCTTTCAAAATAACGCAGCGATACTATAAAAGCTGTTTGCAAAGCGATGAGCAGTGGGATGATATTGGCGGACCAATTCAATTCGTGATGAGAAGGATTCGCGTAAGTGAAGTAGCTGATATATCAGGTTGTCATAATTAAGCACTTTTCTTGCACTAACGACGCAGAGTAGATGAAAAAAATCAGCAAACATTAAAAAAATCATGAAAGTCAAAAAATAAAATCAAAATTCAATCCCAAGTAATCAAGTATTTAAAATTTTTTAGATCCTGCCATAACTGTACATGCTTCAGTGAATCGATCTTTCTGCGAAAGTTTGAACGCCATCTTGTAGAGCTCGCTTCGTTCCATTTAAGAATATGTTTGTTAGCGCAAGAAGCGTGCATTATCTACGGATCGACTTCTGGTCATCCCAAAAGTGTTTCCGCTCTTGCACCCAAAACTTCAAACAATCATAAATCAATTTAGAACCACCACCCAAAATAAGCACCATTAATTATAGTCAACACATCTTTGCCAACGTCACGCTTTTCCTTTCTTGAAAAAACTACCCCAAAGTACTGGCGGAACTTCGGAAGGCAACTTTGACGTTGTCTTGTTCGATACCGCCGTCCTTTTAATAACTCAAGAGACTTGCAGAGGTGTGATCCTTAGTAAGAGGAATTTGGAGAATAACAAGGATGAGGCAGAACTTCGATGCGAAGTGGTGTAATTTTTTATGGGTCACCTTCGCCCCATGAGGTTCTGCGCTGCCTTACAAGGAGAGGATACTTATGTTAGTCGAAAGCACCAGTCCAGATGAGGCATATGCTCAAGTCATTTGTAACTTAATATGCGTAGTGCACATTATACGCCCTATTCGATGAACTTACAAGATTGGAACCTGCTCATTTCAGCGATTTCAACTTCTTCCTTTGCCCCTTTTTATTTGAGAGGATATTGGTTGATTAGTAGTATAGAATTTTACAATTTGTTACGTTAGAAAAGATTTGATCGAGAAGTTAACGTCAGGGGTACCGTATGTTGAAACGCTTTGTGTGCAGGCTCACATATTAAGTTACGAATGAGTCGACGATATATCATCTGGACGTGCTCGGAGCGCTGATTTCAAATCTGGCAAAATCAGCTGCGGAGCGCCTTTGGAGAACGAGTTATGGTTGTTTTTGTGAAGAAAATTTGAAGTCGAGGGAAGAAAAAAATTATACGCAGAAGGCTCCAGTTGGGCTCGAATGAGTGATGTCTGTCAAATTACTCTGCGCAAAGAAAAATGTCTGTCTGCTATAGTCACATTCAAAGCGAGTCTATCTGCGAAATACATGTAATAAACAATCAATCTACATGTAATAACAATCAATTTTACTCTCTTTACCTATTCAGTTTTTGGCTCTTGAAACGGTCATAACTCCTCACCCAAAAGCGGTCCGCAGCCGATTCTGCCGGATTTGAAATCAGCGCTCCGAGCAGGTCACGGTGATATATATCTCATCTGGATCGGTGCTTTCGACTAAGTATCCTCTCCTTGTTAGAGGAAAAGTATGCCATTTCTATTTATCAGTGCAGGCCGATTCAGCTTTTGATGCACGATCTTCAAATCATCAATGTGTGACTCTGCTGCAATCCTACAGCCAGGTCTCAAGAGATTGTAGTGCAGTACGCTTGCACTATTTCACCAAATTTAGACAAGATCCTTAGACAATCGACCGGACCCCTCCGCCGGACAGTCCGAATCTGCCAGAGTCGCGCCGGATCCAGTTGACCAATGAGAGAGGGGCAAATGGGCGGTCCGTCGCGGTGACATCACTGGCAGGCAAATGGGACGCTTCTCCGGCCCTGCTGCAAAGGTACGCCATTTCTCCGGCGCGGCTCTGCCAAATTTGGCAGAGCCGCGCCGGAGAAAATTGCCAGGCGCGAGTCCGCCAGATTTGGAAGAGCCGCGCCGCAGAAAATGGGAGGGGTCCAGAGCACAATTGGGAGGTCTCCGGAGCAGAAAATGGGAGGTATCCGGAGCAGAAAATGGGAGGCCTTCGGAGCAGAAAATGGGAGGTCTCCGGAGCAAGAAAGGGAGGGCTCCGGAGCAGAAAATGGGAGGTATCCGGAGCAGAAAATGGGAGGTATCCGGAGCAGAAAATGGGTGGTATCCGGAGCAGAAAATGGGAGGTCTCCGGAGCAAAAGATGGGAGGTCTCCGGAGCAGAAAATGGGAGGTATCCGGAGCAGAAGAAGGGAGGTCTCCGGAGCAGAAGATGGGAGGTCTCCGGAGCAGAAAATGGGAGGTATCCGGAGCAGAAAATGGAAGGTATCCGGAGCAGAAAATGGGAGCTTTCCGGAGCAGAAATGGGAGGGCTCCGGCGGACGAGTGGCAGACCCACCGCTGGGGAAACGCCGCGACCCTGCCATTTCTCCGGCGGAGGGGTCCTATCCGTTGTCTGAGATCTTTTTTTAATTCTCTGCTTTGGCCAGGTTCTGGCGGCTCAACCATGTCCAACCATGCGATGACCTCTCCCTATTGTCGTCCATAACCTATTTCTCATCGCAGATAACTCTGCTCAAAAATGTCGTTTTTATTGCGCTGGAGCAACAAAGAGCATACTTCGAAGCGTGTTTCCATCTGTGATTGCGATAATTTAAGGGGTGTCCATTTGTCAAGCTTTTTGACCTTGCCCTGTTTGCGAAGATGTTTTCAAACTGTGCTATTTCGGCAGCTTGGTGATATTTTTTCGCAGTCATCAAAGTCTTCCTTGACGACTTCCGTTTCATTCCACGAAAAGGCCGTCCACATGATTACTTGTGAAAGCCCAGGCCTTCACAATACAATTCAATTTATGGACCGATTTGCACTTCATGGGAGGATCAGCTTCAGCGAATGCATTGCCCATATTGGTAGCTGCCATAGATGCCTTGTGTCCGAGTTTGGATTTATAAAAGGCAAGTAGTCAAAAATTTCTTTTTTCAGGGTGGTCTTTAAGGTCGCAAAAACTTGTGGTGATAGCAGCAGCTCCAAGATGTAGGATATTGACAAAAGCTAGAGTTTAGACCCTCAAGTGTTAGTCGTGACTGTTTCGCCAGGTTTGCAAAATGTGGCGTAAACCTGACGTACTTAAAAAGCGGAAATGCTTTGGAATGACCTAATAAAATACTGCACTCCGGATTTTTTCTTTTTCTCTTCTCTTTGCGATAGCTAATGAGTCCGGATGATGCGATTGCATGTTTAACAAGGAAAGGATGCTCGATCACCGTGGCCATTTGGAATGCGATGTATACTGTAAGATGCACCTCGAGACGCTGATTCCAAATCAATGCTCGATAATTTCGAAACGATCTTCTGAAGGATTATGAACTTTTTCGTAGAAAATTTGCGTACCTTTGTGTAGCAAGAATCACCAAATTTGTTCTAAGTTACCATTTGAAGCTATTGAAGAGAATCTCAAAAAATTACTGTTGTATCATATCTATCTAAATCATATTCAGCACTTGAAAAGGAAAGAAAATTTCTATTGATGAATTTGACCCTCCGCAATAACGCAGTTTATTCATGGAAAAATAATCATAACTCCATTCAGATTATCTTTTCGCAGATATGGAAAACAGCACTCGAACCAGCATTGAAAGGCGCATTTTTAGATATACAAATCACTAGAATGGCCGCGATGACCAAGTATCCTTTCCTTGTAAGTAAAAGTCGTGTCTTTACAAATCCTCGAAAAACAGACTCCAAAGTTGCCATTCCTGGTAAAAACCTTTCGCTGAATTTAACTAGAAAACCATTTGAAAAATATTCCTTAGAACCGTCGGCACACCCTCCTTTACTCCGCTGTTGACGCTTCCTACTAGTTATTTATTTCGCATTTAAAATCAGCAGGCAGTGTCCGGGCAAAAAGTCGATTTTGAGATTTTGTGCTTACTTGGGCCTATTCGCTACGCTGAATCCGAAAATGCACATTGTAGAGCGCGAAAATGGCGAAAAACGGCTCTAGCAGAGGAGGGAAATGAGCAGGTGGGCGGGGTCCTCCCCACTGCGAATTCACGTCCCCGGCTTCCGGAGCGACCTTCTCGCTTCCGGTTTCACGTCAATCATTCGCACTTGACCGGTGGCGATGTTAGGACGGCTAGCGGAATCGAGAAAATCGCTCCGAGAGCTGAGAGCGTGAAATCGCACTGGGGAAAGCCCCGCCCACCTGCTGATTTCCCTCCTGTGTTAGAGCCGTTTTTCGCCGTTTTCCCGCCTTCCAATGTGGATTTTCGGATTCAGCATGGCGAGTAGGCCCGTATAAGCACAAAATCTCAAAATCGAGTTTTTGCCCGGACACTGCCTTTAGTGGGTCGTGAGCGGACTAGGACGGATCAGCGTTTTATTATGCCTTGCAGGATTACGGCAGCTTCCCACTCATTGACGAAGAGCACTCTAATGATGATGGGAACTACGAAGTGAACCTGACCGACTTACTGATCTATTTTAACAAAAACAGAACGACAACTAGGTTGCTGGTGCCGATTGTTGTCCACCGCGAAAATGACACCGCAGTGCTTGAAGTTAGTTTCTTACTAATTTTATGCCCCATTACTTAGGATTCATGAAGTACTAACGTTCAAGTAAGAGTTTTTTTTGTGATTCGGTCTCGTAGTCGTATAAAATCTCCAAGTTTTGCACGTTGTCTTTCGTTCATGAATTTGAATAGACGTAACTCAAACGGAAAACTTAGTTTTGCATGATTTTGCATAATGACATGTGATCAATGCTCTTAATTCTATTCTTGCTGCGACGAGCCACTCTGACATCTCTTCACTGCTTCAAGGCAATATTATAAGTTCTCATCACTGTAAATTCTCTTATGCATTTTATGACTGAAAAATACGTGATAGCATTTTAGTGGTGAAATGTTTAAGTTCACAGGCCGTAGAGTGTGTAGCAACTCTCAACTGCTACAAAACAATAAAATTACCTTATACAAAGCGGAGATCGCCACTAGGAACTCTCAGAGACACCTTCCACCTAAATTTTCAACTTCCGTGTTTCTGTCGTATCAGGGGCTTCTCATGTCCTTGATTATGAATATCAAGTCGAAAATCTGCGAAAAAACCCCGGCAATCCCGTTCCGCAGACTGCCGGGCGAGTTCTGCGTAACGGTGATTTTCTGAGTGGCACGATTGGGCGGGACGGACGTCACGCCCACTCAAAGGAGGAGCCAACGTGGCGAATCTTTCATTTGAAGCAATTTTCGAAGCAGTTTTCTCGCTTTGGAAGCAGCTTTTGGCAGCGCGAATGGGCAAGTATATAACTGGGGGCCTGCTACTGTCAGGCATGAAAATCTCATCGAACTGTTGACTGGAGGGTGCCTTTCAGCACTGTGCCAGTAAATGATTCTGTCTTCGTTCATACTCAACCTTTCTAATCATTGTTTTCACCATTGTTTTGGAGGCATGATGTTAGTGGCCGAAGGTCTTGACATTAATTTCTTGTTCAAAGTAGTCCGCGTAAATTTATTTGCGTATACCTTACACCTGTCAGATCCCCATTTGTTCAAAAAAGTCAGGTTTCAACTGTTCAAGTAAGGTTTACAAAACTTGGTTTGGTTTTGCCTATTATTATCACGTAAGAGTGAAATGTTGAGCAGCAAATTTATTATTAGTTCATATCTTACACCAATTGAATCCCCATTCTACGTACAATATTTTGTCACCTGTTCCCTCCCTCTTGTGCTTATTCAGACCCTATTTTTCGTTAACGTAGACATTTACTAATAGTATGCGAACGATGTAGTAAAAAATACATATGTTATGACTTACTTTCCAATTCTGCGTGGAAAGCGAGACATCCTTGATAGCCTCTTCATTGTCGTAATTCTGACAACGATAGAGTCGACCTAATAATGTTTTTCTTACCGCAATCTTTGCGGTGCTTGGCGGTATCAAGCAGGGTCGATTAAAAGCTGTGGCACACGACCGAACAGATACGACCCCATCCTCCACGAGTTGTGTCTTAATAGAACCCCTTTGAATCACAGTTCAAAGTTTATACCTACGTAAGCATGATGAAGAGGTCCCGCCAAGCATAATAAGCATAATTTTGTAGTCACCAAAACGCTCGTAGAATGACTTTGGCGATTTTTGAAGTTATCAAATGCTAGGCTTTAGCTAAGACGGTCATGTTGAAACATAGTTAAGTTTGTTTTGAAGATGAGGCTACCTCGTTTTGCGAAATGACCGTCTTAGCTAAAGCCTAGCATTTGATAACTTCAAAAATCGCCAAAGTCATTCTACGAGCGTTTTGGTGACTACAAAATTTGTTATTATGCTTGGGGACCTCTTCTGTGACTATGGTTCCAGCGATTGCTTAGACGAGTAAAGGCAGTCGGGCTTAAATCACGTTTTCTAAGACGAAAATCAGGCTGTAGAACCATATACGAATCATTCACCAAAACCTCTTTTGTGAAATGTTAAGGTGTGGCTGCCACACTTTCTTTAGAGTTGTGCCACACCTCATTAAGTCGCCTTTCACACTAGCCCAAGTCTAGATTTAGGGATAACCCTAATCGTCTTCATTGAAGGATAAAGGATAAAGAATTCGGGCGTCTTCAATTCTTTACCCTCTACGGCGTGCGCCGAACGCACACTACGTAGTCGAAGAGGCAAATGTATGCATGCGAGAGCCTTATACATGACTTGCAGGACCAGCCAATCACCATGTCAGTGCTTTATCCTCTCAGAATGGCTCTGGTACCAATTTAGTTGTGGGCGCGGTTGTCCCAGCGGCGGGATCGAACCTGCGTCCGACCTGGCTAGCGGCGCCTCATACCGCTACGCCGCTCGTCCGCTCATCGTTTCATTAGTCTGAGTAAAGATAGTGGAATCACAACCACTGAAAACGGATGTTAGGCTAAACGAGGTCTCGCTGACCGCTGGGTACACACTTTGTAGTTGTTCGAAGTGGGATCTGTGGTTGGTGCCAACAAGGAATAGTGTTTGTCAAGTGCAAAAAGAAGTAAGAACTCATCTTTAAACAAAGTCGACTATGTTTGTACATGTGAGTAATTCGGTTTTGAAAACTTCACTGTTGAAAGTCAACCTCCGGGAGCTATATGACGCGCTGATAACGAAACTGATATTCATTATGCTTATAATGCCTTTTCTCATGCTTACGGTAGGTATGCGGGGATGCATCGATACCTGAGTGTTTTCGTATCTCACGTAAGGAATTATTGACATAATCATAACTTATAATAACGGGCTAAGGTTGTTTACGTGTTTTTGTGTGTGTGTATGTCTGTGTGTCTGTCTGTAACGAAATTCGTAGAGCGAGTTCCAGCCAACGTCCTGAGCCCAAATTTTGCACATCGCATGCGACCAACATAAGAGCCTACCGTGCAAAAGCACGAGTAGTTTTGTTGGATGGATCCCTTAGAAAATGCACGTCAAACGGAACCACTTGGGTTCTGGCCAGCAAAATTGGTTCCGTATCACCACTTTTTGCAAAGTCGGAGATGTGTTTGGCATGCTGATGTGCAAGCCATGAATTTAGTCCAAAAAAGTGGACAAAAGTTTACTACTTTACGAGAACGACGCCAAAAAGAAATGGTTGCGTAAATGGTTAATTTGCCATGGTTTTACCTGAGCATTCGAGAAGAATTTTGCACAGAGATGTAGCTCACTTGCCTACTGTCCTTATGGCAGCTATCAAGCCAGAAAGAGTCCAAAAACCTATTCAAATTTGTATTTGTTCTTCTGCGAAAAGTTTCGTCCACGCGAAAACACCGATCTTACATGAAAAAGCAATTGGGATGGATAGTTGTTTACATTTTACTCGCGATAATCGGCACTGCGCGGTGAGTTTCATTGCCATCATTAGTCAAGAATGAGTAAGGCATATGAAGTAAGACCAGTGCGAGCCTCTGCGAAGCAGAGGTGACGCACTGGTTACTAATAATCACGTTTTCATTATCACCAAGTCACCTCAACCACGACCCCCTATCCTCTCTCAAGCTTCATTACGACCTCTCGGTGTGGCGTGCCACACTTTAGAGAGACTTTGGTGCAAAGTGTTGATCTCATTAACGTTGAACGCATTTGAGCACCATGAAAATATGACGTTTTGCTCCTCATGAGAATGAAAGTGCCTACCTGCGCTTGCCGACTCCCATAGACGCCCACCGGTGCCAGCTTTTAGCAGCTTCTGCCGGCGCGGAATAGTTCTTCTGACCTTTCTTGATATACCGCACTGACGCACTCAAAATAACTTCACATATCCTTAAACAAAGAGCGTGTATAGTCAACAGTCCTCTACAAATAATCAAAGTTCTGATTCTATAAAGCAAACTCCACAGCGTTTATGGCAGTGATTCTAATGACTAGATGTTTTGCAGTTTCCTCCGAGTGAGCAAAGAGATAGAGCCTTTGACGTCAATAAAATCAAATTGGTAAGTTCAACTAAAAGGCTTTTTTATGCTGTGCACAATTTTTTGAGTTAGTTTTGCCTCTCACTTGGTCAGAATAATTCTATGAACGCGATGAACACGACATGAACATAACACAGACACAGATGTGAAACCTCCTACCATGGTTTTATGTGAGAGGCGATACCTGAAATGTGGTTTTCGTCCTTTTGTACAGTAGCTTGTGATAAAGTCACGGTAGTGAGGCCCTTGAAAATTTGACACAAATCGCGCAAGGCCCATGTGAAATGTGTATACTTGAGTAAATTTATCTTGATAGAAAAGGAAAAATTAGAATATGGCAGCGTCTCTGGCAATCGTAAATTTAATATGTCGCCTGTATAAAACTTCTGGCGGTGCGGCGTTATGGAACAAATTACGCCGCATTTCCCTACGGTACTGAGGACTTGGGTTGCGTCGTTCTATTTGCAGCCGCAGAGAAGCTAGCATTGCTCCAACGGATTGAGCCTTCCTGCACATGGAGTTGTGCAGGCGAATCGCGACGCAGCGTAAAGATTAAAAGTGAAGTGGAACGAAGATAGAGAATGAAATAGGTAAGGTATATCAAGGTGTTTGTAACAGTATAAATGCAATGCGACTGGGTCAAGATTGAAGAGGAAAAAAAGCGAAGTTGGTTTCTTTTGGAAAAGAAGTTGTTGGTGGGGACTCTCCGTCTCTTTTTTCTACTAGTTTCGTGTTCCTAGTTTCGTGTTCCCCCTAAATACCTTCGTATTTAGACTCGGCCTTTAATTCATCTCTAGCAATCATCTATCTTTTCATTTTTTGATTTTTTTACTGCATTTATACAGTTTGAACATCTTCTCAGGGCGTAGCAGTACGGATTGGTCCAATTCGCTGGCAATAGCTGCCACACGAACACACGAGTTTAAAAAGCTGTTTTAACTAAGTTATTAAGAAAAATTGGAAAATGTGCGTTTGACTACGCCTTACGAAGACAAATCTTTACAAATTTGTATAGAATCATCTTTAACCTTCCTCTAGACTTAAAATTGCACAAATGTTGGATGGCGCAGATCACCGACCTACCGATCTCCAGTGGCGGGAAGAAAAACCCGCGCTGACCCCTTCAGCAGGCTATAAATACCGGTGGATAGGGGAGAGCAGGCAGAGCGTGAAGAGAGCGCTCCAGGGAGTTCAAACGAGCCATCGAAGAGAGGTCAACCTCCCCCCTCCCCCTTAGATAGATAGAAGCTAGAGAACCCTGGAGCGGGCCGGATCGGGTCAGAAGGACCAATATTCGTTGTTGAGTGTTCATGTTGTTCAAGTTATTCAAGTTATTCTTTTTCATTGTTGCCGTAAAGATAAATATCTTTATTCTAACCGTGTCTTTATCGATCGATCTCAAACCGTCAAATCACTAGACAACCCTCGTTACACAAAAAATTAGAGCTAGCATTAATCTCAAGCATCTTTTTTCTACAGAAAACCATGCTCCTATTAGACAAAAGTATCAAGTATTCTAAATGCGTGTCAATAATGGAAGTTAACATCATTTGGAATTATAAAGCGTCTTATAAGCGGAAATTTCCTCATGAATCATCCGAACTAGTTACATGCATCTATTTGAACAAGTCTTTTTTGATATCTTTCATGTTAGAAGAACTTTGATCACCTAAAAGGTTTTGCATCGATACACAAAGTCGCTGCTCGTAGCAAGTAGTTTTCACAAAAGATTTATGTCAGAAGCACAGTTTCAAGCGCAACTAGACTATGTGGAATTATCAAGAGCACCAATCACACCAGAAAACGGTCTAGATAAGGTCTTTTTCTCACCAGCGGTAGAGCAAAGTGTAATTTAATCAACCATCATGACTTATAATAAGCCGCTAATTTGTCGGTCTGTAAGTGTCTTTTACGAAATTACAGTGAGGAATGATTTACATTGCTTAAATGCATGTGAGAGTTGCAAAACAAGTAAGGTCCATTTCTGTAATTACTTTGCGGTCTCCTCCATCAAGGAATGATGAAGGCCAAGATCATTACGTAAGTTTACCTACACTTTTCATGATAGCCAGTGCGAACCTCTGCTTCGCAGAGGTGAAGCACTGGTAAAATAATATTTTGCGAGGATTGACCTTGCCCATGTGTAATCGTTTGCACCGCGTCATCAGTCTCAAACAATGAACATAAGATGTTCAAAAAGTTTCAGATATTTGGAATTGGAAATACAGGAGAATTTCGGTCTCGTAATTTATAGGAAAGGATCAAATTCGATGTCAGTAGAGTAGTTATGTCAGTATTTTGTGCCTTCAGATTCTGTGGTGGAGACTGTTGTAGTCCTTGTCTGTTGAGTTGAACCGGACACAGTGGAATATTCAGTAGTTTATTAGCTGATCAGAATAGTGAATGAATCAAATGGCTACGGTACCTATATATATATATATATATATATATATATATATATATATATATATATATATATATATATATATATATATATATATATATATATATATATATATATATATATATATATATATATATATATATATATATATATATATATATATATATATATATATACAGGCCTCTGAGAACGTACCACTCGGTACCAGGCACCTAGGAAAGCTCTATGAGAACGGGAGGGAAACTCATGGGAAAGTGGGTTTGAAACTAATAACCGGACAAGATATCGAATTACAATGGAAAACAGTGATAGGACAATACAAAACAAATGCAGTGCATAATACATCACTCCCCAAGAGAGACTTGATTGACCTAACGTTTCGACATTGTCGTCGTTACCAGAGGTCTGAAAACGGATTGCAGGCTCTTTGACTTGCTCACCATACTTTCAAGCGCCTCCTCCCACTCTGTCAGCCTAGACCTAGTCCCAGCATGAGATCCTCAATAATAAATAAATGAATAAAGTCTCCACCACAGAATCTGAAGGCACAAAATACTGACATAACTACTCTACTGACATCTTATCATGCCCAGATATAAAGACAAAAGAGCATTTAACTTAAAGATCAACTTCGAGTTATTGTCTTCCTTGATATTCGTGTTTAGGTTATAGCCTTGTGTGTCCATACAAATTCGACGTGCTATTTACAAAATTTACTAAAGGACTTATTCGACGTTCATGCCCTAAAACAAAAGATAAAGTCCTCAATCAAGCCAAAAGAAAATATATGGACAGTGCCTATGAAGCTCAAACAACTGAATAAATCTTACTCTTCAGTAAGTGTTTCTCTTTGAAAGAGCTTACTCCACAGCATTTTCGCTAAACTCAACAAGCAAACTCTGAAATTTTAAATTTATTCACCAGCTATTTAGGATCTATAAAGTCAGATATGTCTTCCAAAATGAGCATCAACATCAAATCTGTCAAATCTATGTACGGTTGTTGCGGCTCGGCAGGACCAGTACAACTAGCCGTGTGCTCAACTGCCATCATTCCAACTTCGCACCCTGAAATCTTGCGCGTATACTTGTAACGTGCCCTCGGCATGTCCACACGAGGTTACATTACACTAACAGATACCCGTATAAGGCCCCGGACAGACTTCACACGATTTGATCGTCGCGACTGAATCGCGACGAGACAACTGTTACAAAATCATTCCATGCCGATCAACTTGCATTTCGGTTGTAATACTTTTTCAGCCCGAAATTTTTGAATGTGAAATGAAAATAAATGGAAATGTCGGCGATTGAGTCGCGACGATCAAATCGCGTGAAATCTGTCCGGGGCCTAAGGAATGAGCGACCAGGTTAAAATATATTCATATTGACTACTAAACACAGAAGCTACATGATATAATATCACTCAAGCTACTACCTTGAAAAACTACAACTATTGAACCCGAACATGTACACATGGGACGAGCCACGGGTCTCGTGCTGCCAGGTTCACTACAAAAAATAATGTTCAACATTTATCCAGCAGGGTGACCGCAAAGTCAAGTCGGTATGGAACGGTGCAATCCCAGCTTCGCTCCCGCGTGTGGATCAAGAACTCCTCAAAGCCATCCAACGCAGAACATTATATTGCTCCAACGCTTGAGACAAGAGATTCTTGCCGAAACTGCTAAAAATAAGGTTGCGGGGACTTACTAGTTACCTGCACTTTAGCTTTAATCAGCTTCTTCTCTATTTCTTTTTTATTACAAGGATTGAAAGTTGAACGATATTCTCGTTTCTGAGGATCATTGATCTGATTATAAAGTTTTTGTATGAGGCGGTCCAAAAGTTCGCGCACTGACCAGGCAAATTCCCTTGAAATGAAGGGAGACTAACACTATGCACTACTCCGAGCAAAACTTTCTTTTCTTTTGAATGGATGTCTTTAAAGTATGTTTTTTTGACAAGTACTCAGCTAAACCATGACGCTCCCGGCCTGCGTTTTGCCTTGTCTGACTTTAGCTATTTTTTAAAAGTTCTGCATCATAATCTTTAAGGAGCTTTGAAACCAGTCAATAAAAGCTTTTGCAATGTCACCTTTCCAGCTTACGTTTTAATTAATTTTTCTGTGATTTTTTTTGAAACTAGTTATTATTGAAAAGACAACCGCATACTTATATCTGACCACTTCATGATGCAATCCCAAAAACCACTTATGACTAGATTTGATTTTTGGAAGTGAATGACTACCGCTTCAGGATATCGAGAGTAGAATTTGCTACACACCGTACGCACTTGTAAAATCAAAAAAATGAAAGACTCAGTTTTTGTTCGAATATGTTGACCAAAACGATAGCTGTGAGAAAGATGAGAAAAGTAGCAACAGTAATTGAACTTCTTACCTGATAATGTTCTATGAGTTTTGGTAATATGAAATTTGGTTACTCCCAAAGTTGAATCGGAGAAGTCTTAAAACATAAGCTGAAGGGGTAAGTGACTTTTCATACGATGAGCAATTCTAAGGCGCAAGGTGTGGACACCTACGGCCAAGTGTGAAGTCTCGCACGTCCGCGTCTTGTGACGGTGGGAAGGGGGAGGGAGGGAGTTTTATACGATTGCTCCCATATATCCTGACCTTTTGGCAACAATTTAATATTGGTACTGTAGCATATATGGGCCTGCTGGCCCCATACCATAAAATACAAATCACCTAGAACAGCTTTTGCAGTATCGCGAAATCAGAAAAGAAATTTGAAGACAGCATTTACCGAAAAGCATCCTATTAAAAATACAACACCGTAATACAAAAATAGTTGCATGGCTATTTTACGTTAGATCAATCTGCAATTTGTTGTGAAATTTTCTTTCGATATAAATCTATTACATCTCATAGTTCTTTTAGCATGACCTGGAGGAAAAGAAATAGAAGCATCCAAAAGTTTATTTGAAAAAAGATCAAAAAATGTGATTGTATTTAACTGTATACCTCACGAATATTTACCTAGTACATCTTTGATCAAAAGGACTTCTGTGTCCGTTGTAATCATAATTGGTGGTGATGTTAGCATCTTGGCATACCGCCAAAGGTCAAGATGATCAGAGAGCCTTCGTATTAAAAGTCCCCCCCCCCCTCCCTCCCTCTCCAAGCCGTGTGGAGAATCTGACTCACTACATGGGACGAGAGGTGCGAAGTAGGCGTGATTTAGTTGCGAAGAATAGGTGCGAAGTCTTCGCTCGTATTAAAGTCCCCCTCCCAAGCTGAAGTGATGCAAAAATGCTTCGCTTCGCAAAACTTTCACTCTATCTACTTTTAATCAGTGCTTGTTTTCAATAATTTAGAATACAAAATTAAAATTGAGTTGAAGACAAGGTAGAAACGATAGCTTGGAAACTTTGTCGATAGCCGAATGGGAAGAAACTAGCCCATTCCTAAGAGTCCTGTGGTATGATTTGAAGAAGCATGAACTTTCAGAATGGCCTAATGTAGATTCCTCAATAATTTAAGGTTACAATCAGAGTTCTGATTTTGAAACTCCACCGACACCTCAGACTGCGGAATATTTTTTCAATCGGAAAGAGCAAATCAAATCGGGTGTAGGCCCTTTTGAACCCTTCGCGCGCAATGCCTATTCCGCCGCGTTCGGCGAAGCTGGCAAAGCCAACAAGTCGCATTTACAGTCAACGGGGAAAATTCTTAGTTTGAAGCATGTAATATACCTGTGCCAAAACCTATCATCATGTTGCACACGAAAGATGTAGAAAAATGATGCTCCGTCCTACTCACAGCCTTGTCAATGGTAGTGGAAATGTTGACCAATCAGAGGCGCGCCGTAATAGCGAGCAGTTCAAAAGGGCTTTTTCCCAATCAAATCGATAGCAGCGGTAAATAACAAAGGCTTAGAAAGGTTGCTGAGAACAATTAAAATGAGTTTTGCTACACTTAGGGAAAAATTTTCATGACTTTTTCCAAAAAATACCTCACCTCTAGATTACGTGGAGAGTTGTAGCTTTTCAATGTACAAATACCACACACAAAGTGTTGAAGTTTTGTGAATTATTTTGGCAAATTTCCAATCATCATGGAGAACCTACCATCCAGACTGGCTTCATATCAGCACTAATGTCCCTGTAAATTCATAAAAATTTAAGGCATAAAAAGTAAGATAGAATTTTCAAAGGAAAGCAAAAAAATGGACTCGAGATGCTGTCACAAAAATCGCCCTTATATTCACTGTAACCCATATGCGTGAAGGTGAAAATGATACCAATAGGATGTCCTTCGTCTATTGCTCATGTGTGATATATTATACTTCGCTAAAGTTTCGAGGGTTTTTTTTTGAGAGGAAATTTTGAAAAAATGTCACAAAACTTATGTTACGACCTGATACTCCTATAAAACGTTACAATAATCAAATTTCAGAATCAACTTTTCTAAATGTGCTATGTTTCATGTTCTGACTACTGCTAGCACATCAAAGTTGAACCTTCGTTTTTGACGCTTACTTTCTCAAATTTTTGAGAGAGTGGAAACTTAAAAATCTTAAAACCATGAACGCTTCGATTCAGCGCATGCGAGCGCTGTTATTTTACCAACTCTCTAGTCAAGCATTTGCTTCTAATTTTTAATTTTGCAAGCTTATTACCTTTTATTGAGGTCGACTGGTTCAAGTTTCTATCAGAAATGACTCCAAGCAAAGTTCATTACCGTTATCAAGATGATACTTTTATGGTTAAAGCTCCCCCAATCGAAAGAATGAAGAAGTGAGTGTGAGAACTAAGTTCTGCGATCAAGAAAATGAAAATAATCAAGGCTTGACGCCGTCTTAAAAGGAGCTCCAAGGAAAGTCCTTGCCAATTTTATTATGGTTACTTACATTGAATCTTGGTTGCAGTGGATTGATAAGCCGTTTGAAACTCTCGCAGCTAGAGCTGCAGTGGCGGGTTTTTTCACTTTTAGTACGCATATTTGTTCCTGTGCTTTGCATAGTAGTGAGCGATAACCCATCTTGCAGCAAAATATATGTGAACTGGAATCCAGCAAGTTAGGGACAGAAATAAATTTCGAAACTGATAATCAGTGATAAAATCCGTCTCGTGCAACACAATAAAGACACTGGAGAAAGGTTTCAAAGTTAAACTCTTCCGCGATGCAAACTGCGTGGACTGCGTCTCTGCAACGATTTGTGTTATATATGCAAATTATCTTTAGTAATCACCGCACTTAAAAAAATGTAACTCTTTGGAAGAAGTAGGTACGATGTATGTATTGAGTGCGTAGAAATTCACTGTTTAAGCGTGTTAGGAACAAAACTACTGACTATTTGATGTTCTGTCAGCAACTACAAAGCGTGACAAGTAGACATTTTGATTGTATAAGTTGCACTACTACTATGAGCAAATTGCTTACATTTAAATGGTGCATGTCAGGGTTGATATTCACGTAGATTCAAATATGCGTAAAGAAGTTGGGTTTCTCCCAAATCAGAAAGGTTCTAGCTGGGCCCGTAGTGTTGCAACTGGTACGCTTAGCACTATAGTTGAAACGACCGAAGAATGTCGAACGAACGAAATCGAATAATCGGCTTTGAAGAAAATTCGAACGAACGAATATTATTCGAACTGTGATTTACAAATTATTCGAATTCGAATATTCGAATAATGCTACAATCAAAAATTCGAGTGAACGAATATTCGAATAAACGGGGTTGGTCGACAATTCGACTATTCGAATAATCGAATAATTACATATGGCCAAATATTCGACTATGCGAATATTCGAATAATCATACAGTCGAGTAGATTTTCCCTTAATATAGTGTGCTTGCACTGAAGATGAAATGCGGTAAAATTTGCGCGTGAACAAGTAGCCACGCCAGTAATACCAGCATTTTGCGCGCGCAAATAGCCGGCGTCACAGGGTGGCTGTTTCTTTACGCGCAAATTTTACCGCATTCCACCTTCAGTGCAAGCACACTATATTAAGCGGAAAAACTACTCGACTGTATGATTATTCGAATATTCGCATAGTCGAGTATTTGGCCATATGTAATTATTCGATTATTCGAATAGTCGAATTGTCGAATAGTAATCTGGATGAGCAGATTTTGGATGGATGCTGCCTTTAAACGGCTACTAAGAGCAGAGATATGGGAATTTGTAGTATAAAATTCAAGGGCTCAACTAAGGCAAAAACGGTGAGGTCTTCCTGGCGAGAGTGATGATTAGCAGTTACTAGACTGAGAAATCAGTTGCATAAAGCGTCCTGGCATAAACATGATTCCATTCGAGCTCACAGACCCGAGTTCTGAATTTATTGTAGCCGCGAGTCTAGATTTTTACTTCAAAAAAAAAACTCCCCAACACCCCTTAGAATCGCTTCGCAGATATAGAAGGCAGATTCGAAATTAGCGTATCATGCTCCATAAGATGGTATATATTTTGTTCAGAAACGACTTTGACCAAGTATTCTTCCCTTGTAAGACTAGCACTATGAGAGCACGAGAAAGGCCTAAAGTAATAGAATCAGAACCTCAGCAGAGGTGACGCATTATTGTCTACATTCGTTTGTGCGCATCTAAATCCAGAAAAAGAGAAGTCTTGGAAATATCTCTATACTAGCTGCTAATCTAAGTCGGAAATCATCAGTCGCTGAGTTCCACACTTTCTGTTGTGGGATTGAATTTTCGCAAAGTTGTTTCTGTATTTTTGAGGTTTGTACTTTTGTTTTAAGGGATCTTCTATATCTTTTACTCAGATCTGAAACAATTATTCAACTTACACACCTACTCAATTATTCCTCTTTGCAACAACTCTAGTTTTTTTACGCCTTCTGACTATAAAGGCAGCCGGTTTGAGTATGGTGACTGACATATAGGCTGCTGCCACAAGTCAAGCGGCTCAGGTCTTCGCGACCGCCTTGCTCCGGCCTTGCGCTGCGTTAACGTATCTTTCAGGTACACATGCGGGCGGTGATTAGGCTGGCAAGGCGAATGGAGATTTCGGGATGAAGGAATGAATGTGGCTAATACTTGTGCTTTAAAGGACTGCTGGTCCTTTGCATGCTCATACAAGCTGTTTGAGGACCAGTGGTCCGCTAAAGAGGAGCCTAATGACGGCTTTGCTACCCATTTAGGTGGAGGTATTTGCGCATGATACTGCATCTCAACTTCTAAACAAATTCCAGAGATAGTCCACCACTCCAAATGAATTATGCATAAAACTTGTCCTCACTATGCACTGACATGACTCGCGATTGCCTTAAAAAGGAAACCTTGCTAGCCTTTCTGTCATATGATTATTCACTGCATGATTGACCGATCGGTGACATACCTGCACCCAATGTAAAACAGCTGAAGCTTTCTTTTGATATCAAATGTTCGAATGAATGGCCTTTAATATTCGAATATTCGAACAACTGCCCTTCAGGTTGACTCGAATAATTGAGTATTTGGATAACTGTTCTTTGAAACTCCTCGAATGAACGAATATTCAAATAACTCATTTCTCTAAATTGTCGAATGAACGAATTGTTCGAATACATGCCTTTTTCACTTATTCGACTATTCGAATAATTGGATAATTGGACCTTCTCAGATATCTGACTACTCGAATATTCGAATAGTCGAATATTTCGAATAAATTATTCGAACACGAATATTTGGTTCTAACCATACTTAGCACTTCTCTCTTAATGCACATCCGCCTTCACAGTTTCAAACTGATAATCTTGCGCGGCCACAACTGTCGTGTTTGATGTGCCTGACCCGCACGCTATGACAAGAGTGCAGGCGTAACTATATTAGATCACAGTTGTATACGCCATAAAAACATGTACGAATTTGGAAGAGAATTAATATTATACTACTTTAAAGAGAGAGGAAGGACAGTCTTATCCGTACTGTCGATATCCCCACGGATCTCTACCATGCCGTTCAGGGTTGTCCAATTGTGGACGCAAGCTCTTAAGACTTAGAACTTTTGCAGCGCAACCCCTCTACATTCCCGCTGTTTTTCTTCATCTTGAGTGACGAACCACTAGCTAATTTCGCGTCCCGAAACATGCTAAGATTTCTAAAGGCTCAAACCCGCAAATTGTCCGCGGGAACTGTGGAGGCGTCGCCAGGTACTTCAATGACAACGACAATAACAAACGAACTCGCAGAGGCGTAGACCGTTCTGCGCGCTGCTTTTTATACACATCGGCTTATCAATGCGCCCACAGCAGGAGAGTTCTGGGCGCGTTCAGAGTAACGCACCCACTAACTGCGACAAGAGTGCTTCCAAACTTTTTGAGCAGTGAAAAGGCTTGTAACATGTTCCTGTCAGCTCATAGCATCTTTATGTTGTGATGTGACAGCCAAGAAGGTTTCACCATAAGCCTTGGTGTCGAACAATATATCTATGCTGTACAAAAGCGCTTTTCATCTTTGTTGTTTGTAACAAAACTAGGTAAGGAATGATTTACAACATTTGAAAGCGCACGAGTATGGTTGAGGTATTCTAAAAAATACTCAACTTCCTTTCTTTGCACCCCCGGAGTGCCCCCCCCCCTTCACCTGGGACGGAGTAAAAAACACGTTTCTGAGGTGAAAGGATGAGTGCATGAAATGGTCCCGACGTTATGATCAAACCTAATTAGGGTCTTAGAGGGGAAGGAAAATGCTGGCATGCATACATACTCCTGCTGGGAGGGTTGGAAGGCTACTCTTCCTATCGATTGGTATGAATTATTAATCATAGGGTAACAAATTCGAGATTATAGATCACCTTCATCAATCTTAAAGGCAGTGTCCGGGCAAAAACTCGATTTTGAGATTTTGTAATTATACGGGCCTATTCGCCTGCTGAATCCGAAAATCCACATTGGAAGGTGGGAAAACGGCGAAAAAGGGCTCTAACACGGGAGGGAAATCAGCAGGTGGGCGGGGCTTTCCCGAGTGCGATTTCACGCTCCCAGCTCTCGGAGCGATTTTCTCGATTCCGCTAGCCGTCCTAACATCGCCACCGGTCAAGTGCGAATGATTGACGTGAAACCGGAAGCGAGAAGGTCGCTCCGGAAGCTGGGGACGTGAATTCGCAGTGGGAGAACCTCGCCCACCTGCTCATTTCCCTCCTCTGCTAGAGCCGTTTTTCGCCATTTTCGCGCTCTACAATGTGCATTTTCGGATTCAGCGTAGCGAATAAGCCCAAGTAAGCACAAAATCTCAAAATCGACTTTTTGCCCGGACACGGGGGTTGGCATTAGAGAATAAGGCTGGATTTCACGCTGATCCGGAACTTCCGGGACAGGTCCAGTACAGTTCTCGAACTGTGCTGGAACTGCGCCAGAACTGTGCTGCATACGCTGCAGTCTCCCACATGCGGTTTTGATCGTCGGAAGTTAGCGATTTTTGTCTATTTTTAACGGTTTTTCTAAATTCTCCCTCATTTCGGTCTCATCCTTCTACACCTTTTACGTTTTTATGAAAATAGCCTCGGTCTTGAAACGGAATTGGAGAATGAGCGCCGTTCTGCTTACGTACTCGAAAAAATGGGTCTTTGTTCATTCTCTCTTCGTTATTTTTTTAACACCTACTTCATGTGTTCTGAAAAGGTGTCTATGCCCCTTTCAATGCAGGCGGAACTACGCAGCGGTTTCCTGGAACACATAAGTAGGCCTGAACAACAATAACGAAGAGAAAATGAAAGCGCATGGAAACACATCTTTCCGGATACATGGAAGCAAGACGTCTTGCATTCACTAATCCCGCCTCGAGTTCGAAGCTTTACTAATCAAAAGGAGGAACGGGTGGAAGGAAGAACGAGTAGCACAAGTTTGGGAACTATGTTAAAACTATTCCAGGACTTAAAGGCAGCGTTCCGGTAAAAAAAATGGCTGCCTGGTTTTTGTGACGATGTTGAAGTAGACCCTCTACCTAAGCGATGACTGAAGTTTGGAGCGAAAAAGGGGTCAACCAAGCCTGAAATTCGCGGGTGGAGGTCTATATGTCGCCGAACGCGG